TACACCAGAATGGTAACAATGAGAATGGAAAATAATGTACAGAACTGAGAGACATTCTGGATATACGATCCATAGAACCTGGCAATTGATCAACTCTGGGAGAAGGAAAAGTTATAGAGGGGAAGAATAGTAGCACCCTTACTGGAAATTGTGTTGAACAGGAAATTTGAAATATGGATCGAAGATCAAGAAAAAGGGTCTGGGTGAGCCAAAGATTTGGGAGTTACTAATATTTGAAATATCTGAAATAGATAGAATAGTGGAAAGGGAAAAAAGAGGTACAGGGAATAGGATTCAAGAAAAGAATTCCTCATCCTGTTTGGAAGGAGTTGCCATTGTAACTCTTAGCAGATGTGCTTACCATTTTTAGAGCTTCAACAAAAGAAAGTAGTATAATCACCTCCAAACCCATGTCTGTCTTTGTGATTAAAATACTTCTTCCAGGTCAGAAAAACCTCCTGACTCCATGTTACAAGGGACCTGAGCAGTCTGGGACCTTTGGACCTATAAACCCTATTCTGAATTCAACTTACTGCTTCCTGGCTCAGTTTTTCAAAGAAGTTGGTACAGTGTTTCCAGATCACTTCGTTCACTTGGGAGGAGATGAAGTGGACTTTACATGTTGGTATGACCATTCTTTAAAATCCTTTTTTAGAGGTCTCCACGTGAAAAGGGAAGATTGGGGGACAGATCTCTGTTTGCAGGGGTTTAAGTAAGCAACATAACTCAAGAGTGGCAGCTTTGAGGAAGGAGAATCAAGATGTGCAAGACAGTGGAGACTGAAAAGACTATGGTGAAGAAGAACAACTTTGGGGAAGGGCAATGATTAAGTGAGGGAGATTTTTTCAAGTAAAAATCCTCTGTGCCAATAGCCTTAGATAGAGGGGAGAGGCCATTTCCAACAGAAACTGGCTTCCGGAAAAAAAATTATCTGCAGTGGAAAACTAGGATAACTCATAATAAAGTTTTTTAGGCTCATTTTTTCCCTACAAAGTTTAATAGTTTTAAATCTGCACATATGAAGTTAGGGCTATATGCTGCTTTAAAGACCTTGGGTTTATCAAACTTTCAATGCAATTTTAATCACTGTTTCTGTTTAAGGGAGTCCAACCCAGAAGTCCTAGATTTCATGAAGCGGAAGGGCTTCGGCAGAGATTTTCAAAGACTGGAATCTTTCTATATTCAGAAGTAAGTTACTTGTAAGCCTACTCCTACTAAGTTATTTGTAAGCCTACTTCATCTGTACCCTTTGTAAAAGGTTTAGCTATTTAGTACTTTCTCTCCACTCCATGTCAAAGTGCAGATATTGTATACTTTATCGTACAAAGTGTCAGAAGGAAGCAATATCTGCTGCTTTCCTTAAAGCAATGAAGTGATGACTAAGACTTGTAATAAATGTTGAAGGTCAGCATTCACCTGCTCAAAGAATTCAGTTCAAAGCCCCTGGCTTCCCTGTGAAGCTTTTATCACTGTCTAGCCTGTGGATTTCAATCCCTTTTTGGTCAACTCCAAGAACATTTACTTGGTTTCTGTGATGTCCAGTATGATAGCCACAGCTGCATGTGGATGTATTTGAATTAAAAGGAAGAAAACTGTAAATTCAGTTCCTTAGTCACATCAGCCACATTTCAAGTATTCAATAGCAGGATGAGGCTAGTGGCTACCATTTGGAAAGCACATAGATAGACTGTTTCCATCATTGCAGAAACTTGGAAATGAATGGTACTGTTGTATACAAGTAAGCTTTCTTTTTTTTTTTTTTTTTTTAAGGGCCAGATAGTAAATATTTTAGGCTTCATGGGACCCATGGTTGCATAGTACTGTTTTTTAAACAATCTTTACAAGTGTGAAAACCATTCTTAGCTAATGAGCCATACAAAAACAGGTTATAGGCTATAGTTTGCCAAATCCTGAATTAAGGAAGGTCAGATTCTAGCCTTTTCCTGTTTTCCTTTTGTGTGGTACATTCTAATTTTCTAAACCTGCAGCATACCTGGCATTATCGAAATACAAGGAAATATTTGTGGACTATGTATTAGCAATTGTTGAACTCTATGTAGTTGATACCACAGGCTAAATTACAGTTTATTGTAAGCTAGCCATGCCACTACGAGAGATTGTGGTTTGTATTCTACCCTGTGAGTTGCCATGTCTTCTCCACTTTGGGGAACATGCTTAGCATGTTCATTCAGCAAATGACTTTTAACCCACGTGACATGCTGAAGCATGTGCTGGAAAGAAGGAACCACACTGGGTCAGGACCCAACTGTAGCAAGTTCTGCTATAAAGCTGTGCTGTAGTGAAAAGCAACTCCCAACAATGCAGTCCTTTATAGAAAACTATTAATGCTTTAAAAACATTGTTAAGCTTATGCTCTGAAATAACTTTTTCTTCCCCCCCCCAACGGTAGGCTTTTGTATATTGTTTCAACTATAAACAAGGGAGCTATAGTCTGGCAAGAGGTTTTTGATGATCATGTTAAGGTAAGTAGGAGGACTGCATCTGATTCTGTTAATATGAGAGACTTACTATTTTAACATGCTGGAAGGAAGGAACCCTCATAATGTTGCCAACATGATGGGGAAATTAGCTTACCTCTGAATTTAAACTTTGGGCAGAAACTGTAGACTGAGACTAATGCCACCTTTCCATCTCTCCCTCCCACCCCCCACTACCTCATTATTTGTCACATATTAGAGTACTTTGAAGTTCTTTTCTCATAAGAGCAGAACAAACAAGAATGAATGAGTCTTTATTGGTATAAAGGTAGTTTTAAATTGTCAATTTAGGGTGCCTGGGTGGCTCAGTTGGTTGAGCGATTGCCTTCGGCTCAGGTCATGATCCCGGACTTCCAGGATCGAGTCCCTCATTGGGCTCCCAGCTCCTTGGGGAGTCTGCTTCTCCCTCTGACCTTCTCTCTCATGCTCTCTCTCACTCATTCTCCCTCAAATAAATAAAATCTTTAAAAAAAAAAAATTTAAATTGTCAATTTATATGCTTTTTATTTTCCCTCCGTTAAATGACAATTTCAAATCCAGTATTATCTTTCCAGAAAGGCTAGTAACCAGTAACATTTAGTACTAACTCTGAAGAGGAAAAATACGTGTTTTTTGAAGAATCTTACGGAATTGTTTTTCTAACTACAATGGCTTCAACTTTTAATGTCATTTGTAATTGTTGGACCTCATCATACTGTTTTTAACTTTAATAGCTTAAGCCAGGCACAGTTGTTCAAGTATGGAAACAGGAAATGTATCCTGAAAAACAAGCTCAAGTCACAGCAGCTGGCTTCCCTATGATCCTTTCTGCTCCTTGGTACTTAGATTGGATTACTTACGGACAAGATTGGAGAAAGTTCTATAACGTGGACCCTCTTGATTTTGATGGTAAGTAAAGCACCCCTCATTACCTTGATTTGTTCCTTTTCTTCCCTAATCTCCCACCAGGATATTACTGATTCACTATCCTCACTTTTGTTTACTTAAAAAGAAAGGCCCCAGTACATTTTAAACTTTGTGAAAGAAACCACAACTTCAAAAGTAGATTTCTTTGGGTTTTATCTGTTTCCACTGGTGATGAGCACTGTTCCTCACCCTACATTTTAAAGACTCTTGATTGCATTAACCTTGTATCCTCTTTTGATGGGCCTTTCCATTGTAAGGCACAAGGAAGGCTATAGTCCAGTTGGTCTTTGGGTCTGCATCCATGGGGGTAGGGGTGGTAGGAGGAATGGTAGAGCTTTAGGCTCTCAGACCTTCTTCCTGAAGAACAGTTCTTCTTTTTCCAGCTTTATTATATACCAGATTTTACAAAATTTCCTTCAAGAAAAAGGATGTTAGTCTTAAAAAACTATTTCAAAACTGGAGGTCTATTAGGAAGGGACAGTCACTAGTATTCCAACTTGTATTCCCCTGGCACACTGTTCACTGGCAAGCAGAGGGAAAAGTGGTTCTGGAACCCAAGTAAGTTTTTGTAAAACTAAAAGTCAAAATAGGCTAACAAGCACCTTGGGAATAAAGTTTGCTACCCTTTTTTGGTGCCAAAAGCATGAGTATCTCCCAAGGTTCTGCTGACCACACAACAGAAATGTTGCCCCACAGTAAAGGTGGAATGAGAAACCAGTCAGTGTCTCTGTGTAAAAATTTTGAGCAACTACTTCATTTACATCAATTCAATGATTTTAATGTAGGTTCTCAAGAACAGAAAGAACTGGTCATTGGTGGAGAAGCTTGTCTATGGGGAGAATTTGTGGATGCAACTAACCTCACTCCAAGATTATGGTATGGAATTTAAGTGGTAACATTTGAATTTTTTTAGAAATTTTCCCAAGCATAAACTTTAGATATAAGAAAATATTAATTTAAACCACATGTTCACCAGAGCAATTTAATTTTCAGGCCTCGGGCAAGTGCCATTGGTGAGAGACTCTGGAGTCCAAGGAACATCAAAGATATAGAAGATGCCTACAACAGACTAACCGTTCACCGATGCAGGATGACCAGGTAAGAACTTTTTAAAGCTAGGACACTAAGTCCAAGTGACCTTTAACTTTTTTTCCTGTAAACAGAAATGTATAGCCCCTAACAGTTTCCAATTAAGTCACTGATTTTTATAGGAAAGGTGTATATAACCATGCACCGAATTTTGATATAACTTTTAAATCCACTTTGGTGATTCTGAGTTAAAGTTCTTTAAAATGGAGATGAATTCCATCAATCTAAAACATCTCTAATTCATAATTTATCTGTTCTGTAGACGGGGAATAGCTGCAGAACCTCTTTTTACTGGATATTGTGAATACTGAGTACAAAACCAAAAATGAGCTTAAACAAAGAAGAAAACAGAAGGGGACAAAGCCCACAGCAATCTGTTCGACACTCAACTTGATTTTGAAATCATGGAAATTGAGATTTCATATTGTTTTTAAATAAAGTATCTTTTTGAAGACTGAACCCCTCTACTTTATAGAATACTTGCTTGTGTAAGAAGCTCAAAAGCTCAAAAAACCCAGAAAACCTTATGATAACACAGTGTATCCCACAGCAGTAACTTTACAGGTCCACAATACAGTTCACATACATAACTTTATAGAGCAGAACAGGCCGCTCCAGGGCCACTGTAAGTTTATCTAGTTCAGTAAAACAATAAAAATTCTTCTTACTGAAAATGCAGTTGAACATAAGGTGCCCGTGAGGTTGTCTCCAAAGACCTACAGCACGTGGTTCAAGCCACTTCTCCGGCCGAGCAGTGTCGCCTGGTCTTGAGGGTTCATGGCTTGATAGTTACAGAGTTCTAAGGCAAAAGTAGCTGAGCCAGAGGTAAGCGTTCGAAGCACAGTTGAATAACCCTAATCAAAATAATTTACATTAGCAAATTTAAGCCTCCCGTATCTCTTCCTGCTGCTTATCATTTCACCATTTTCAGGATATATACTCAGATATAGTCCCTGGACTCAGCATTTAGTAAGTGCTTGGAAGGGAAAAAACTGGCCACTGAGGCTGGTGCCACAGCGTGGTACAGCACACCTCAACCTTTGTGAAGGATGGACGTGATCCACCATCCCCTGGATATCTGTAAGTTTAAATCCAAAGACCTAACAGTTCAAACTTAACAGGTGTCCTCTAAAATCAAAGCCCTGATTGTCTACTTTGCTTCAGCATAAATATCCCTAATATTTTAAAAAAAATAGATACTTTTCGGGTCACTTAGGTGGCTCAGTCTGTTAAGCACCTGCTTTCAGCTCAGGTCATGATCTCAGGTCCTGGGATCCCGCCCTGCATTGGGCTCTCTGCTCAGTGGAGAGTCTGCTTCCCCCACCCCGGCCAGCTCCTGTTCACTTGCTGTCTCTCAAATAAATAATCTTATTAAAGAAAGGTACTTTTCAGTTAGTAAGTACCTACCATAATTTCTGCTAAAGGAACAAATCCAGTAACAATTTTGTTTTCCTGACGAGTCTGGATTTCCTGAATGGTTCCTCTTCTTTGTGCCAGATCTGCCAGGACAGGGCTGAGGTAATCTCCCATCACTGTCACCTCGAGATTCATTAGGGGCTCTAAAACTTGCTTATCAGCTTTCTTCAGAGCCTAAAGAAATTAAATAGTGTTAACCCCCTTCCTTAAATTAGAAATCAAATTTCCATTAAAAATTCATAAAAAATACATAAATGTTCCCTGTCCTTGTAAGCCTAGAGCTCTAGCAAAAAAGATACAATAAGGCTGTTTTAATGGTCTATAAAGCTAATATAAGAACTCAGGTACACAGCAAGGGGGTACTTAGTAAAGCTTGGTTACAGAGAGGACCTGTGAACGTATGGACAGAGATACAATGAAATAAAATAGTTTTCTCCTTTCAATCAAAGTTTCTTCCTCGCTTAAACAATGTGTGTTTACATAGAGTTCACATGAGGGCAAATCAAGAAATGTACTACAATAAGGTAGCACAAGCACAACAAAAGGCAAGAAGACCAAGCACATAAATAACATGCAAACTGAAAAAAGCCAGCGCAGCACATGGGGCAAGTGAGTAGGGGACGAAATGAACTGGAGTTGCCATCAGACACAGTCTTTCAGACCATCACTACATCAGACAAATCGGTTAATGGGTTTTGGAGGGCATATGCAAACACTCTAAGTACCAGTGGGTTTGATTTTAAAAGCTATCCTGCTGGGGCCCTGCCAGAGTTCTAAAGTAACAAAACCATTTCCTATAAATTTTAAGCCTCTGGTTATTAGGTGGGATTTACTAAACAGACCTAGCAATGGAAACCACCAAAGTAAGAGAGCTAGGGCTCTGGAATGTGCCCTCACCCTTACTGTGAGGTGTTCACTGTTCCGTTCCCACTCCACCACCACTCACTTCTCATTATTACTGAGGCCTTAGAAAAGGGGCATTATCACTGTATTTGGTAAAAGTTCTGGACCCTAAATCCTTTTGTCCTTGATCAGTCACCACCTCTCCACCTCTTCTCTTGCCCCTCACCAGCACAATCATGAAAAATGGCCACATTTCTAAAACCAAGAGTATATTCTCATTGTCATTAAAATTTCAAAATACAGCACACATACATAGTAAATAATCAGTTCTTCATAGCTTTAAAATCTAACTGAAATGACTCACCTACAGAAAATACATCTAACAGTCCTTTAATTAAGATACTACTAAAAATAATGACCATCAGTAGCGAACAACTATGTATCTTTTTCCAATTCTTATGCAGAGTTCGCATAATATCTTTCAGGACAAAATAAATGAGTGGGAAAAGGTAAAAATTAAAAAAGGAAAAATGCTATAAGCAAGGAAAGGACTGAATGCTATATAACTAAGATATACAGCATCTGTCCTCAATGCTCTTTCCACCTAATTCAGTTTCAAAAACATCGACGTAGCTTCCTCAAAACTTTCATACTTCACAGACTATGGTCTGAGTGTTGCAGCCTATACCCTACTAGCCTGCTTTAAGACCGTGTCCAAATACCCAGCAATCCCAGATGACCTCATCATTTCCTTTCACAAACATTCCTGTGTGCTCGCTCTTATTTCTGTTGATGGCTTCATAATCTTTCTTAGACGTATATTTAATCGTCTTATAAATCTTAAGGTCCTTTGGGTTAAGACAAACATAAATATCCCACTTTTGTCCATCTCAGTGCACTGTAAGCTCCACAAAGATGGCTCAATAAATACAGGAAACATCATTAACTTCTAATAAGCAGAGAGAAGCTTCCCTACTAGGTGAAGCTAAACAAGGGCTGCAGTCTATTGGGAGTACTGCATTTAATGTATTAAAACTAAAGAGTAAATGTCAGCCCCCAAGAAGTTAATGACCTCAATAAATATACTACCCAATTAAGATACACTTACAGATTTTGCTTTTAGAAGGCATATGAAGCTTTGAAGGACTGATCAATATAATGGGGCTTGGGGTTATTTTAGAAATATGACATCTTCCAGGTTACCGTTACTGACTAAAACCAATTTCAGGAGAAACTTTAAAAATTTTTATAAAGATTCTCAACATTTTAATCATGACTGATTTATAGGTATTATTTCTAACTACAGCTTAAGCAAACAATATTTACAGAATGTTTTTTGATGTATAGCTTTTTTAAAATAAAAAAACTAAGAAGTATGAACCTGAGGGATGCCTGGGTGGCTCACTCAGTTAAGTGTTAGACTCTGGGTCTCAGCTCAGATCTTGATCTTGGGGTTATGAGTTCAAGCGCTGCAGTGGGCTCCCAACTGGCATAGAGCCTACTTTAAAAAAAAAGTATGAACTTGAACTCACATAAACAAGACATTGAGTTCCACTTTCATAAGTCAGGGACTTAGGGTATTCATATTAACTTCATAATTTTGGATTCAAAGGAGCTGTAGAAAATCAAGTCTCAAACACAGTCCAAAATGTTAGGAAATTGTTTTAAACAGTAAGTGTTTTAATGCAAATCAGTCACCTACAAAAACTACAGTATTCCCACATTGAGAGTAATGCACATAGTCAGCATTTAGCACACTAAGATCCCATGAGTTAATTCAGCTCTGGTAGCTTACTGATGCAAGACACTCAGGGATATCCAGAGAGGTAACCATGCCAAGAAAATCAGATTGCTTAATACTTTTTGTAAGGTTAGGTGCTTATCTTGAACCTTTTTCTCAGTGTGACTTCTCTGATTTCAATGATCTTTGATTAAGGTAATCTTACTCAGATAAACAGGAACTCCAAAATTGGAACTAATATTACATTTTCAATTTTCTTAAGATAATAGTCCATCTTGGGCCCAGCTGACCCCCAAAATGTCCCCTACTCAAACCACCAAGCTTCCCACTAATAGTAATGTGTCTGGGATGGGGAAATCAGAAATTCCAGTGAAGGAAACCTACGTCCCTGCCAAAAATCAAAGAATATTTCCTGGTCATCGTGCTGAACAGTAATTTCCTAGGTCCTCTATCAAATATAACTGTGGTGATTAAGAACACACAGATTCTCCAAGGTAAAAACCCTTCCTGACTATAAGGCTGAGAAGGCAACATTAACAGTCTGAGGCACTCACTGCCAAGCACAGCTGCCTATAAAGCAACGGTACAGTACTGTCAAGAGTCACCTTAAAGCAAAACGGGTAACACAGGATAGTTCTATACCTTTTGGATACATCTCGAGACACAGGCAGAAATCATCGTTGTGGAGGTACCAGGATGAATTATCAGTGAATGTAAAGTAATCGCCACATCCTGAATTGGGGATCCAAGCAATGGTCCTAGGCAAGGGGAAGAAAACAACTGTGTTAGCACTCAATATACAATGAGGAGTAGATACAGGGAGAGGACTTCTAATTCCAATTCAAGTAGGCAGCTTATAAATTGTCACTCTGTCCCAGCAAGTAAGAAGCAGAACAGAATTAAAAATCAGCAACTCTTCTTGGATCCATAAGAAAGAAGACAAAGAACAAAACCACTGCCCCCAAACCTCGAGAGACAGTGAATACCGGGAGTCACAGCTTTCTGGAGCAGAGGCTCACCAGCCCAGAAACCACTGCCAGGGTAGGAAAACATCAACTTCAATTGATGAACTGCTGGAGGCTCAGTGTGGGCAAGTCTGGGAGTTAAGAAACTCCAGAGGGGATCCTGTCATAAATCAAAAGGAAGACACCCCCCCCCTCACCGGCCAATTTTGTGAGGTTTACCTCTAGGAGCTCAAGCATATTCTTACCATACATATCAGAGAAAAATTTCCTTATGCTTCTGACAGAAGGGTAAAGAAACCATTCTGAAATACTCTAGAACACTGTTCTTACAAAGGCCTGCTGTCAGGGGAAACTAGCTAACTAGAGACTAACCAGCAGGGGCATTAGCAGGACCTAACCAACTTGGGTGAAGTACCAAACCCCAGTCTACTCTAACCATCCTGTCCAACCAGCCTGAGGCCAGTGGGGGAAAAAGAAAAAAAATAAAAGAAAAAGAAACATGGGTGCAGTTCCTGGTCCAGAGGCATGGGCTCACCTAAGCCTGAGTCCTAATCCTAGGATTAGAGAATACTTCCCTTGTCCTCTCACCTGACCTCCACATTACTAAAGATGCATTTATAGTCGTTCCTTTTACCAGTACGCTGTGTTTGGCCATCAAGAAAAAAGTACAAAGCATATCAAAAAGCACAATATGACTACGGAACAAGCACAGAACCAGACATGGTAAGGATGTTGTAATAATCCAAACACATAATTGATATACTAAGGACTCTGATAAAGTAGACCACATGCAAGAAGAGACAGATGGACAATTAAAGCAGAGAGAAGTAAAAAAAAAAAAAAAAAAAAAAAAAACAAATGCCAGAAATCAAAACCACAGTAAAGGGGCACCTGGGTGGCTCAGTGGGTTAAAGCCTCTGCCTTCGGCTCAGGTCATGATCCCAGGATCCTGGGATCGAGCCCCGCATCAGGCTCTCTCCTCAGCAGGGAGCCTGCTTTCTCCTCTCTCTCTGCCTGCCTTTCCTACTACTTGTGGTCTCTGTCAAATAAATAAATAAAATCTTAAAAAAAAAAAAAAAAACGGGACGCCTGGGTGGCTCAGTTGGTTAAGCAGCTGCCTTCGGCTCAGGTCATGATCCCAGCGTCTTGGGATCGAGTCCCGCATCGGGTTCCTTGCTCTGTAGGGAGCCTGCTTCTCCCTCTGCCTCTGCCTGCCATTCTGTCTGCCTGTGCTCTCTCGCTCTCCCTCTCTCTCTGACAAATAAATAAAATCTTAAAAAAAAAAAAACACAGTAGAATAAATGAAGAATGTCTTTGATGGGCTTGTAGGTACACTGGACATGGCTGAAGAAAGTGCCGAGTTAGAAATTGTATCCATTGCCCCACACTGGGCTCCTTGCTCAGAGAAAAGCCTACTTCTCCCTCTGCCTGCTGCTTTCCCTGCTTGTTCTCTCTCTTTCTGACAAATAAATAAAATCTTAAAAAAAAAAAAAAAAAAGATTGTATCCATAGAGACCTCTAAAACTGTGAAAAGCAAAGTGAAGACTGGGGGAAAAAACAACAACAAAAAACCCACCTAGAACAGAATATCGAAGGACTGTGGGACAATGCAAAAAGGTATAACATACACATAATCAGAAGACACAGTAAGAAAACACTATCAAAGCTGGAAAAAAAGATGGAAATAATCTACGATATTAGGAGTGATTAAGTGGGTCATTGTGATACTAAAGCTTACTTGTACTTGAGTAGCTTACCTTGGAGGCATGCACTGTGAATTCCATTTTCAATGGCCTCTTGAGAGACCTTTGGAAGGTCTTCACTAACACTTGGAGCATACTTGATAACTGGTGTAACAGAAGATGTTTCAATTGGTTTTACTTCCAGTTCTACGGTCACAAGATGCCGTTTGTCTCCTAAAGTTCTATCTAAGGTATCTATAAACAAATTGAAAATAGTACCTCAGAGATTTGTTCCAGAAAGATGTCAAGATGCTGCAAATCACAATATTACAGTCAACAAGTTCGAAGTCTCATAGAAGATAAAGTGGGAAAAAATATTACAATGACACTAAGTACAATATAAACACAACAGAGTACACAGTTCTACCAAGAAAGCATCTGCTTCTGTGTTTACGGATGTTACAAGCCAGGTGTGAATCACTAATACTGCTTCAGTGCTGAGATGTGTTAAGGCAGATGATGCTACAAGTTTTGACATGCAGATGACACATTTAAACTTTTCAAAATACCTTATGTGACTAAAATTCTAATTGCAAAACTTATTTGACTATAAACATCTGGAGTATAAAAGGTTATCTAATGAAAATTAAAAGGCTTTTTAAATTCTGTTAACCCAAGCTGCTAAATTCTATACTCTTCCTGTGATGTTTTACACATTTATGATTCTTCTCAAACTTGTGACTTCAAGATTGAAAACAGTATCTCTCATTTCCTGACAACCTACATCTGTCATCAATCTCCAGTATTTTACTCAAACAAAACAATGCTATATTTACATGAGGGGACCATGTAACAGAGTAACATACAGCTCAAACTAAATCTAGGAATTACAGCCTACAATTCCTCTTTATGATTCTTTTTTTTTAAATTTTTTTAATGATTCCTTTTTAAGCTAATTTTTATATTATGAAATATTTTTTACTTAAGGGAGCATTTATGAGACCCAAAACTACTCAGAAATAAACCATTACCAGTAACATACAAGCCTTCCAAAGTAACCACTACCATGATATATTCAGTCATTCCTATGATTTTCCTTAGTCATATTACATATGCATGTATCCCTAAACAACACAGTTCACTCCACTGTGTTTTGAATTTGTTATTCCATATGTACCCTGCTATTTGCTTCTTTTGCTTCACATTTTTTCTAAGATTTTTAAAATTTATTTGAGGGAGAGAGAATGAGCAGGGGAGAGGGGTAGAAGGAGAGGAAGAAGCAGGCTCCCTGCTGAGGAGGGAGCCTGACGTGGAGCTCAATCCCAGGACCCTGGGATCACAACCGTAGCTCAGGGCAGATGCTCAACCGACCGAGCCACCCAGATGCCTCCTGCTTCACATCTGTAGGTCCTCTGAATGATGCATATTGAAGCAGCTCACTCTTTTTCACAGCTGTATAATATGCTATGATATGACCACAGTACAACTTATACATTCCTCGTCCATAAATAATTGGGACTTTTTTTTTTCCACGTACAGGTTTTTTATTACAGTGCTATTATGAAAATTCTTCAACCTATCTCTGAGTGCACATGTGTTAAGAGTTTCCCTAGGCATCTACCCAAGAGAAGAACTGCTGAGTGGTAAAGTCTGTACACAGCCAACTTCACTAGGAAGTTATCAAAATGTTTTCATAGTGGCTGTATAATTTACAATCCCACCAGAAGTTTTTAGGACTTTCCATTGCTCAACATTTCACCAACACTTGTCACTGTCTGATTTAATTCCTGCCAATTGTACTGGTGTAAAATAGTATGTCATAAATTGCAGGATCCTAATCCTTACTGATACTAAGAATCTCTTAATATGTTCATCAGCCTTCTGGGTATCTTTTGTGTGAAACACCTGTTGAATCTTTTTTGCTCACATTTCTACTTGGTTGTCATGTTTTTAGTCATCTTTAAACTTTGTTTATATATTCTGGATATTAATGTTGTGTCACTTTTTATATGATGCAAATATCTTTCCTCAACTTTTGATGTATCTTTTTGCTTTCTTTATAGTGTATTCTAGCAAAGAAATTCTTCATTTTAATAACATCAAATTTATCAATCTTTTAGTTCATAGTTTCAACTTTTGGTATTCTGTAAGTCCTACCCTATCTGTCCTGGTTAGTAAGATAATTCTGAATTTTCTTTCAAAATCTGAAGGTTTGCCTTTCATAAAGTTTTGGGGTTGTTTTTCATATACTAGCATTTATTTTCTTTATACTTCTGTACTACAAGGAAAATTTTGCATCTCTTCTTTCATGTATAGGGGTTTTTTTTAAGTTTTTGTTTTTTTTTAATTTGACAGAGAGAGAGATCACAAGTAGGCAGAGAGGGGGGAAGCAGGCTCCCCGCTGAGCAGAGAGCCTGACTTGGGGCTCGATCCCAGGACTCCGAGACCATGACCTGAGCCAAAGGCAGAGGCTTAACCCACTGAGTCACCCAGGTGTCACCCCTCTCCCCCCACCTTTTTTTTTTTTTTTTTTTTTTTTTTAAAGATTCTGTCTTTTAAGTAGTCTCTACACCCAATGCAGGGCTTGAACTCAATCCTGAGATCAAGAGTCACATGCTCTATAGGCAGAGACAGCCAGGCACCCCCATGTTTAAGTTTTCTGATTCAGTTGGAAGTGATTTTTGTGTATGGCATGAGGCAGGAATCTAATTAAATGTCTTTCCACATGGATAATTATCACAGGCCCATTTATAGAATAGTCAATCCATCCTTGGCCACTGAACTTCAATAATACTGATATAAATCTAATTTCCATATATGTACAAGTCTGCTTCTAGGTTTTCTGGTTTGTTCCACTGGTCTGTTTTGAGCTTCATTAGTATCAGAACCACACTGTGGCTTTATAATACATATTCAAGCCTGATACACTTCTTTGGGTTATTCCTCATATTGTTACAGCTCCTACCTACTTACTAGTTTTTTACCTTGCAACTTATAAGCAGTCTGTGCAGAAAGCCTTTAAAGACTATGCAAATATGCTATTCCTTAAGATACCCAATATTTAGCAATCACAATAGTTGCAAAATGACTATTTTCCTACTGAAACCCTTCTCCTCAGCATCTAACAGTCAGCAGTTGGCATTCCACTCTAAGGAAGAATTTCCTCTTCTTCCCCATCTGTTTATCTAGTATCAATAAAGATTCGTGAATCCCTACTTTGTCTCAAAGGCCTATAATTCCTAGACTTAAGTGCTATTCCAATTCATTCAGATATGGCCAATAGAGCCTCTTCAAGTTGGTTCCTGTGTCCTTATGATAGTCCCCCATAAACATAAAGATTGAACATTTCCTTCCTTTTTAATATACCATAATGTTCTACTGCCTGCTTATTCTTTTTTTTTTTTTTAAAGATTTTATTAATTTGACAGAGAGATCACAAGTAGGCAGAGAGGCAGGAAGAGAGAGAGGGAGGAGGAAGCAGGCTCCCCGCCCCAGCAGAGAGCCCGATGTGGGCCTCGATCCCAGGGCCCTGTGATCACGACCTGAGCTGAAGGCAGAGGCTTAACCCACTGAGCCACCCAGGCGCCCCTGCCTGCTTATTCTTAATGGTCTCTTGGTCCTTACTAATAATTTCTATGTCCTTTTATTCTTTAGAAATAAATATACTTTTATATTCTGTATCCAGTAATTCCAGTGTCAGAAGCCTTTGCTGTTCTGACTGATACTGTTTAAACTGCCTCTTTCCTCACTGTGCCTTTCTTATCTCATGATTTTGTAACTAGAAAATATTTTTTGAACTGTGATTTAACACTCCCTTATCTATAGGATTTTCTTTGAGGAATGGGTTAAAGACACATTTATCTAGAGTCCCTGTTTGTTTTTTTCCAGGATCCTTGGAATATTATCAATTCATGAGCATTTTATACTAAATTCTTCTTTGTTTGTGGAGTTTTTTCACCAAAAAAAGCGGTTCTTATGAATTTAGGCTAAAAACCCTATCAGAAGCCAATGGTTACAAATTCTTACAAATTTTGCCCCGCGTTTCCTTGTCTTTTTATGGAGAAGACTTCCCAGTTAATTATTTCCATGAGCATGTGACCCTCAAGTACTAGGTTAGAGATAACTACTACAGATTTCCTCCAGAATAGCTAGCAGTTTTGGTGCTGACTTTTTTCCGAGATTCCTGCTCCAGCTTCCTTTCATGTTCTAAGCAGCTCAGACATTAATTTAAAAGATACTATTTAGGGGTGCCTAGGTGGCTCAGCAGGTTAAGCCTCTGACTCTTGATTTCAAGTCAGGTCATGATCTCAGGGTCATGAGATCAAGTCCCATGTTGGCTTTGCATGGAGTCCGGAACCTGCTTAAGATTCTTTCCCTCTCCCATGCCCCAAACCCCGGCTTGCACGGTCTCTCTAAAAACATTAAAATAAAAATAAATGAAAGACATATTTTCCCAGCATTTTCCATATAAAAAGTCCAAGAATAAAAATCCTCATATCACTTGCTTCTACATTCTGCTTGTATAATTTTTCAAGTTTTACTGAAGAGTAACTACCTGGCTTTTTCATAAATCACCGAGTTACATCTGGTTATCCTTAACATGTTTTCTCTGTGACTCTTTTCAGAAATCACTCCATGTTTTCACTCCTTGTGGAAGAGCAGTGATTGTCATAGTCCTATACTTAAGAAAAGCAAACTGAAACTATAAAAGAAAAAATATGAATTCTTAAATTTTGAGACAGAAATATAAAATCCTGTACTTTCTCAAGAACATCATCAGCATAGCATTACCATATTTATTAAACAGATGAAATTATTTTCCACTCACTTTGTAGAGTAAAAATAATACACTGGGGCACCTGGGTGGCTCAGTGGGTTAAAGCCTCTGCCTTCAGCTCAAGTCATGATCTCAGGGTCCGGGGATCGAGCCCCTCATCAGGCTCTGCTCAGCGGGGAGCCTGCTTCCCTTCCTCTCTCTCTGCCTGCCTCTCTGCCTACTTGTGATCTCTGTCTGTCAAATAAATAAATAAATAAAATCTTAAACAAAAAAAAAAACAACCATGAACTTCAAATTCTTATACGCATTCTGGTAGTGAGGATGAGTGTAAGCCACCTACACCAAGGGCTTATTCTATTCCATGAACACCACTGAAAAGCATACTTGTTTGGTAAGGGCTCATCATCTGTTTGATGTAATGAGTGGTAAAAGAAGAGAGATGGGGGACACCTGGGTGGCTCAGTGGGTTAGGCCTCTGCTTTCGGCTCAGGTCATGATCTCAGGGTCCTGAGATCGAGTCCCGCATCGGGCTCTCTGCTCGGTAGGGAGCCTGCTTCCCCTTCTCTCTCTCTGCCTGCCTCTCTGCCTGCTTGTGATTTCTGTCAAATAAATAAATAAAATCTTTAAAAAAAAAAAAAAAAAGAGAGATGGGTTAAAACAAAACAGTACAAAATTCTAAAAAAAAACAAGAAAACTCACACATAAAACCTATGCCTGGGGTGCCTGAATGGCTCAGTCAGTTAAGCATCTGCCTTTGGCTTAGGTCAAGATCCCAGAGTCCTGGGATCGAGCCTGAGGGCCACCCACTGCCCCCCAGTTAGGTTCCCTGCTCAGTGGGGAGCCTGCTTCTCCCTCTCCTTCTGTGATTCCCTCCCTGCTTGTGCTTGCTCTGTCAAATAAATAAATAAAATCTTTAAAAATAAAAACACCCTATGCCCACTGATGGAAGATACTAGTGACTATGAACCCTGCTTTCAGAAAACAGATCCTAGAGAAACAAAAATAGCAAATTTTAAGTGTTTTATGTTTTACCTGTGGCACGAACTGCATTTAGGATGGTCTCTCGGTATGCCACCTGGAGAGGCCCTAGGTAGGTTTCCAGTCCATATTCCCTCTTGATTCGGTCATGAATAATCTCAATATGTAACTCCCCCATACCACAGAGAACAGTCTGGTTAACAGAAGAATAAAATAAAAACAAGATCCAAGGAAAAAGTTATGTTTATCACAAAATACTATATAAATGTATGTTATCAATGTTATGTTTCATTCATCACAAACCAAGTTTCTTGGCAAATTTTTTTTTTGGCACTTCCTCAAAACAGTTTTTAACTTTTCTGAGTGGATAAGTCAATTAAAAGTGAATTGCTAGGGGTGCCTGGGTGGCTCAGTGGGTTAAGCGTCTGCCTTCAGCTCAGGTCATGATCTCAGAGTCCTGGGATCGAGCCCCACATCGGGCTCTCTGCTCAGCAGGGAGCCTGCTTTGCCCCCTCTCTCTCTGTCTGCCTCTCTACTTGTGATCTGTGTGTGTCAAATAAATGAAATCTTAAAAAAAAAAAAAAGTGAATTGCTGGATGTGCTATGGTGAGTGCTGTGAAGTGTGTAAACCTGGCGATTCACAGACCTGTACCCCTGGGGATAAAAATATATTATATGTTTATAAAAAAATAAAAAAATTTAATTTAAAAAAAAAAGTGAATTGCTGGGGCATCTGGGTGGCTTAGGTTCAGGTCACGATCTCAGGATCCTGAGATCAAGGCCTGTGTCAGGCTTACAGCCTGAGGGAGTCTGCTTCTCCCTCTCCCTCTGCCTACCCCCCTACTTGAGCACTCTTTTTCTCTCTCTCAAATGAATAAATAAAAAAAAATAATAATAAATTTAAAAAAATCAGAAAAAAAAAGTGAATTGCTGGGGCGCATGGCTGCCTTAGTAGAGCATGCAACTCTTGATCTCAGCGTTGTGAGTTCAAGCCCTACACTGTACATAAAGCTCAGTTTAAAAAAAAATTGATTTACAAAGTGATTGCTAGGCTATTGTTCTTTTTACAAGACAGTTTAATCAGGCAGGCAGCATCTAGAAGTACCATACTTCCCAACCATACAGTTTAGTTCTGGTCAATGCAACAGGGTTGTAACTGATGCTGGCAACTTCTGGGTTATACCTTTAAAGAAAGGATAAAGCAGGCGCCTGGGTGGCTCAGCTGGTTGAGCAACTGCCTTTGGCTCAGGTCATGACCCTGAACTTCCAGGATTTAGTCCCGCATCAGGCTCCCAGCTCCTTGGGGAGTCTGCTTCTCCCTCTGACCTTCCCCTCTCTCATACTCTCTCTCACTCATTCTCCCTCAAATAAATAAATAAAATCTTAAAAAAAAGAAAGAAAGAAAGAAAGAAAGAGAGAGAGAGAAAGAAAGAAAGGATAAAGCCCTTCTCTTACTGAAGATGCAGGAAACTATCTTGAAATATGCAGATGAGGACAATATCTTGTTAACTAGGGCGGTGAAGAGGATAACCTTTTCCCCCAAGCATTCCCAACCACATTGGTATCTACCAATCATCCTGGACACCACCTTACAGTTTTCTGAGTAGTCAAATCTTTCAGACTGGTTTGGATCTTTATTTAATAAATAAACTGACGTTTATCTTTCATGAACCAGTGTTACTTAGAGCTTTCGTTAGAACAAGCCAAATTTGTATCAAAACTAAGCAAGACAGGCTTTTTATTTTTATTTTTTTAAGTATTTTATTTATTTGAGAGCGAGAGCATGAGGAGAGGGAATAGGCGGAAGCAGAGGAAGGCTAATGCAAGGGCTGGGGGCCCTCAATCCCAGGACCCTAGGATCATGACCCGAGCTGAAGGCAGATACTTAACTGAGACACCCAAGGCATGCTTTTCAGAAAATTTCTGTAAAACAATGGTTATTCCTAAGAAGGTCTTTGTGTATGAGAAAGTATAATGCAAGGAAACCTTATTTGCTCAATCTTATTCATATGCCACCTATATAGTGAAGAATTAACCTCACCCAAAGAGAGATATGGCCCTTGCCCTCGGCTACTGGTATGTTATGTTTACGGCAGGATGCTGCCTGGCAGAAGTGTCTGCTTGTCTGGGGGCTTTGTCCACCAGATTGCATAATGATGTGATTTATGATGTGGGCTTTGGAAGAGCCCCATCAGTTCCAACCTGGAGAGTAAAGGTAGTAGCCTCAACTTATAGGATGTACTAGAAACTAAAGGTCAACCACAAAAGCAGAATCTGATCCAGCCTTAATAAAAACTCTGAACAGGGCTGGGGTGAGACTCCTTGGTTGGCAGTACTCTTGATGAAGGAAAATATGCCCTATTTGATTCTGCCCTATTTGACTCTTCCTTTGGTTGGCTCAAATTTTATCCCTTCACTATAATAGAACTACAAATGTAAGGAACAACAACAACAAAAAGGATTATTTTGTGTACAATTTAATACAAAGTTAAACAAGTGGATTATTTGGGAAAAACAAGCTGTAGAATAATACAACTAGGATGACTTGTTATAATCTATATCTGTACATATATATATATATATATATATATATATATATGGAAAAAGTATACTGTGCTTTATTTATAACATAACACAGCAGAAGATATTTGGCAGTGTGAAACATTAGTCACCATTTCAGTTGTTACCTGTGTAAAAGAGAATGAACAAAAGGGGGAGCTTTAATTTTGTACTTCGTGGAGCACCTGGGTGGCTCAGTTGGTTAAGCATCTGCCTTTGGCTCAGGTCATGATCCCAGGGTCCTGAGATTGAGCCCCACATCCTCCTTTCTCACCCACCCCACACATGCTCTCTCTCATATTCTGTCTCTCAAATAAATACATAAAATCTTGAAAAAAAAATTTTTTTGTACTTTGTACCCTTGTGTGTTATTTGCTATTTAAAAAAGAAAAACATGTATTGGCATTTTTTAAAACAAGTTTTTTTTCAAGAAAGTTTAACTGCTTGTTGTATCCTCCAGCATTAATTAAATAAATTACTACCTCATTTAGCTAGTATTTGGGAAATAAAATACTCCCTGTTTTAAAGATTAACTAAATCAGTTTATCCTTAAAAACAACTTCATAATCTTTTAAAGGAACTTTTTCTAAAATCTTGGATAAACTTTACCTCTTTTCCTAAAAGGAAGACACAGAATGGAACATGTGTTCTTCTACTGTAATGTAACATACACAAACTTCTTACCACCTACTTTAGCTCTCTCTACTTCCTCCCACTGTGTTAGGATGTTAAGCAGTCACTTCTCCCCCATCTTAGGTGAGTTAGTGACATTAAAAGAAGCTTTACAGGGGGGATGGGGTTATTATGGACATTGGGGAGGGTATGTGCTATGATGAGTGCGGGGAAGTGTGTAAACCTGGCGATTCACAGACCTGTACCCCTGGGGAAAAAAAATATATGTTTATAAAAAATAAAATTTAAAAAAAAAAAAAAAAAAAAAGCTTTACACCCTCCCTTTAGTATGCTGTTTATAAACCCTAGCTTTAGAGGGTTAAGACCTTGTCAGGGTTGAACCTTATTTCAAAATTGTACAAAAGACTGTCTTCTGGAAAGCTGAAATGATAAACAGTGGTTTAGGTAAGCGAGGTATAATTAATTATACTGAGAAACCAACAGCTTGATAATCAACACAATAATCAGAAATTTCTATTACAAGAGAACCAAAAGAGAAAGTTTTTTCTTTCAGGGACCATGAACCAATCATATTTTAGATATATCCATTTAAATACACATACACACACACACTACACACACACACACACACACACACACACACACACACACACACATATGCTACCATGAACCAATCATATTTTAGATATACCCATTTAAATACACACACACACACACACACACACATACACACACACACGCTATTATTGAAAGATTTCTGGGATATATTAATATAATGCATACCTGTCCAGAATCAGGATCCAGCTTTACTTTCAAACTGGGATCTTCACGCTGAAGGCATTTCAGTGCATAATCCAAATCTAAGGGATAAACAGTAACGGTTATCTTTATATTTCATAACGTGACTTATGTTAAAGTGGGGGAAAAAATGAACAAGTAAACAAATTTTGAAAAAGAACATTTCATTGGGAGGGAGACAAACCATAAGAGGCTCTTAATCTCACAAAACAAACTGAGGGTTGCTGGGGGTAGGCAGGTAGGGAGAGGGGGGTGGGGTTATGGACATTGGGGAGGGTATGTGCTATGGTGAGTGCTATGAAGTGTGTAAGCCTGATGATTCACAGACCTGTACCCCTGGGGCAAATAATACATTATATGTTAATAAAAATAATTTTTAAAAAAGAGAACATTTCAAACAGCTATAAATAGTTTGCAGAGAATAAAAGAAGATGGTAAGAGTGATAGGATGTTATCTGAGACTGAATGATCTGGAAAGGCCTCTCCAAGATAATTTAGAGGAAGACACAGAAAAGAATGGCCATGTATGCAAAATCCTGAAGAAAAGGAATTCCAGAAACAGCAAATGGTGGTGCAAGGAATGGTTTTGCCAGTGGAAAAATAACAATATGGCCAGGGTAGCTGGATATTAGTGGGTAAAAGGGAAAGTAGCATTAGATTAGGAGGGGAAGGTATGGCAGAAATCACATCATGTGAAGTTTTTTAAGCCAGGGTGAAGCGTTTGGATCTCCACTGGGAAGCCAATGAAGGGTTTTAACTGGGACAGCTAACCACCTGATTGTTTCGCAAAGATCAATCTAGGAGCTGACAAAAAAGCAAAATGCCTTCAGAAATGGAAGTGATAATGAAAAACTGGCCAAAGGAAACTAAATGACATCTTGAATAAAGAGATGCTAAAATGGTCACTCTAGGATGTATTATCACACACAAAGAGGAAGAATCTATTCCCTGTGTTAAATATGGCATCTTAAGACAAGTGATACTTTAATACAATCAATTAACTGTCAAGTATATTCTCCCTCTCTACAAAAGATGTTAGAAGTTTCACAGACATAGGGCGCCTGGGTGGCTCAGTCATTATGTGTCTGCCTTTGGCTCAGGTCGTGATTCCAGGGTCCTGGGATGGAGCCCCACAATGAGCTCCCTCAATGGGCAGGAGAAGCCTGATTCTCCCTCTGCCTCCCCCCTTGCTTGTGTTCCTGCTCTTGCTGTCTCTCTCCGTCAAATAAATAAATTAATTTAAAAAGTTTCATAGACATTGAGTATGGCTCAAGAAAAGAGCTGAGCAATGGATTAATGAACCAACCTTATCAGTCACACATTTAAAGTGGTCTTCAGGGGCGCCTGGGTGGCTCAGTGGGTTAAAGCCTTTGCCTTCGGCTCAGGTCATGATCCCAGAGTCCTGGGATCGAGCCCCACATCGGGCTCTCTGCTCAGTGGGGAGCCTGCTTCCTCCTCTCTCTCTGCCTGCTTCTCTGCCTACTTGTGATCTCCAACTGTCTAATAAATAAATAAAAAATCTTTGGAAAAAAAAAAAAAGGTGAGAGTATTCTATTTTATTTTTGTTTGGTGAAAGAAGAGGGTTCAGAATGAAGGAGGAAGTTTCAAGAAATGAGGCCAGGCAAGAAGACTGGTATGAGAGGCTGCTAGTAGTCTTCCACTCTATTCTGCTGCTGTCCATCTAAAAGACTGCATTTACCAGATTCCCTTGCAACTGAGCAGCCATATGTCTAAGTGACAGCCCATGACATAGAAGAAATCTTTAAAAGGAAAGGGACACATCTTCTTCCTCCTTACTCCATTCCTCTGTCAGGAACTCTACTGTGATGCCAAAGGCCCTAGCAGCCATCATGATATAACTAAGGACAGAAGCTATGCATTCAGAGAATCAGGGCAGAACAGCTGGAGCCTGGGTGCCTGATGACATTGTAGAGCCAACCTCTAAACCCTGGGCCACCAAGTCAAGGCATATTTTACAAGGGAGAGAAATAAACTTTTGTCATTAAAGGAACTGTTATTTGAGGGGGTTTCTGTAATATGTAACCAAAGCTAACTGGAAAGAATACACCTGAAATCATGATATTTATACAGCATACTAAGGAGTGGGTTTGTGCTCTAAGTAATGAGAAGCCACTACCGATTTCTGAGTAAGCAGGCTAGAGAACGAAGCACATAACAGTCAAAAAGGTCAAATAACATTAACTACAGTATATAAATATCTTCACTGAGTTCTAAAGGTTGAGCTAGAAAACAAGGAGCATTTTATAAATGGTGATGAGAAAATGAATGAGTTAGGAATCGGTAACTGTCTAATCAATTACTGTAACTGGAAGGGCAGTCCTGATGCCAGTTACTCAGAATGCCACAGAAAGCACCACAAGAACAGGAGTAAGGAAGACTATGATATGCAAAAAGTGGCCAAGATCTAAGAAAAGAGTAAGTAAAAGGAGTTTGTAAAAACCAAAACACCTTAAATAAAAAACAAGACTAACCACAAGTAATACCCACAAATTCTGGTAAAACTGATCTCAAATCACATAAATCTTTTGAGAATATAACGTAACTATTTCTATCTACATTATCGGAGCACTAATTAGTTAATACACTAAAACTATCTGTACCTGGCTGCCTAGCCACTGAAGGGGGCTCTATGGTACAGAAGAAAACGGGTTCTGGAATCTCCACTCCAGCCAGTAAAAGTCTCTCTGCTTCGTTGTTTTGTCTGTGCTGCTTTTCTCCCTCCCTTTCGGCTCGACGAGCTGCAGCTAATGCACTGGACTTAGACGAGGCAATGGTGTCCCCAGTGGCCGTCTGTAAGCAAAAAAGATACTTTGGAACAAAACAAGCTCTTGGCAAGCACTCAGCTTCTACCAAGATTCGCGAATAGGAAAAAATTTCATGTGACACTTCCAACAGAGACAAATGCATAAAGCTCATTAAACTTTGCAGAGGTAAAGCTAACTTGTGTAAGAATTCTATCCAAAATACTGAAATAAAATCCTAACAATAAAATACACACACACACATACACACACACACACACACACACACACACACTCTCTCTCACACACACACACTACATATCCAAAATTCGTGTGGTGAAACAAATGTACCTTCCTAAATTTTATTTATTTCCTTTTTAATTTTTTTTAAGATTGTTATTTTATTTTTTTAAAGATTTTTATTTATTTATTTGACAGAGATCACAAGTAGGCAGAGAGGCAGGCAGAGAGAGAGAGGGGAAAGCAGGCTCCCCGCTTGAGCAGAGAGCCCAATGCGGGGCTCAATCCCAGGACTCTGAGATCATGACCTGAGCCGAAGGCAGAGGCCTTAACCCACTGAGCCACCCAGGCGCCCCCCCCCTTTTTTTTTTTTAAAGATTTTATTTATTTGAGAGAGAGAGAGAATGAGAGAGAGAGAGCATGAGAAGGGGATGGTCAGAGGGAGAAGCAGACTCCCTGCTGAGCAGAGAGCCTGATGTGGGACTCAATCCCAGGACTCCAGGATCATGACCCGAGCCGAAGGCAGTCGCTTAACCAACTGAGCCACCCAGGTGCCCCCCAGGCGCCCCTTTAATTTTAAAGATTTTTATTTATTTATTTGACAGAGATCACAAGTAGGCAGAGAGGCAGGCAGAGAGAGAGAGGGAAGCAGGCTCCCCGCTGAGCAGAGAACCCAATGTGGGGCTCGATCCCAGGACCCTGAGATCATGACCTGAGCTGAAGGCAGAAGCTTAACCCTCTGAGCCATCCAGGTGCCCCTAAATTTTTTTTAAAGACTTTATGTATTTATTTGACAGAGAGCGCAAGAGAGCACAAGCAGGGGGAACAGCAGAAGAGGGAGAAGCAGGCTCCCCTTCAAGCAAGGAGCCCCATGGGGGTCTTGATCCCACTGGGATCATGACTGAGCCAAAAGCAGACACCTAACCATCTGAGCCACTCAGATGCCCCAGTACCTTCCTAAATTTTCAATCATGTCAAAATAGGTTAGTTCTCCTAGAAGTCCTTATAGAGTTTTACCACCAGTGGAAATTTATTACTGTTTTACAAAAAAAATCCTCTATTAACTAAAATAAGCAATTAACTAGCATTCTCCAGACTATGCAAAATTGATAGCTTCCTTATAGACTCCAGTTAATAACTATAGTATCACTTTTGAACTTCAATACTACAAAGATCTGTGCTAGCTTCCTTCTCTGTAAAGATATTCCTACTGAAGCAGTATTTCAAACATATTTCTGTAACTCCCTCAAATATGTATGTGAAGCTCCTGCCTTAGGGTGGACAGAGGACATTTTCAATGCTAGAAGTCCACTATTTGGACTGTGGAAATTTTTATTGTTTTTAAAAAAGATTTCATTTATTTGAGAATGAGAGAGAGCATGAGTAGTGGGGAGACGCAGAGGGAGAAGCAGACTCCCCGCTGAGTAGGGAGCCCAACGTGGAGGTCAATCCCAGCTCAGACCAAAGGCAGACACTTAACCAAATGAGCCACTCAGGTGCTCTGGACTGCGAAAATTTTATACTAATGGATCCTGAATCCTGCAATTATCCATAAAGACATTTAAAAATGTTCAAAATAACAATGATTATCCTAAATGCCAAACATACCAAAGTTTAATGAGAAAATGTATTCAATTTAATCTATATGTAAATGAAATGTCCTTATAGTTTTAACCTAGCAAAAAACACATACAGAGGGGTGCCTGGGTGGCTCAGTGGGTTAAGCCTCTGTCTTCAGCTCAGGTCATGATCCCCCGGAGTCCTGGGATCGAGCCACACATTGGGCTCTCTGCTCGGCAGTAAGCCTGCTTCCCCCTCTCTCTGCCTGCCTCTCTGCCTACTTGTGATCTCTCTCTGACAAATAAAACAGCAAAAAACAAAACAAAAAACAAGAAACAAAAAACACATACAACATCAACTATTTTCATCCATTCAACTGACAAAGGTTATGAATTGCCTACTATGTGTGATACACTGATCTAGGGACTAAAGAGAAAACAAAAATAAAATCCTTGCTCTCACGGAGACTTCGCTGGAAAAATATCTTCAGTTACTATCTGGATTGGAAGGTTAAACTGTCAGCAGCGATCAAGACAGGAAGAAAACTAAGTAAAAAAATATTTATTAAACTTTGGGGTGCCTGGGTGGCTCAGTGGGTTAAGCCTCTGCCTTCGGCTCAGGTCATGATCTCAGGGTCCTGGGATCGAGCCCCTGATGCGGGCTTCTCTGCTCAGCAGGGAGCCTGCTTCCCCCCTCCTCCCCCGCCTGCCTCTCTGCCTACTTGTAATCTTTGTCAAATAAATAAAATAAAATCTTAAAAAAAATAAAAATATTTACTAAACTTAAAACAGAGGTGTGCATCCAGGAATAGTGTATTTTTTTACTTGAATTTGAACTTTACACAAGTATAATCCATACTGCTCACAGTCTTCTGTAATTTTCTTTCTTTCTATTATGAGATTCAACCATGTTGATGAATATGCTACAAAATTCTTTATCCCGCTATTTATAGCTATTTGGATTGTTTGTGGGTTTTTGCTACTGCAAAATACCTGCTTTTAAATAAACTTTTAAGCTATCATTTCCTAGAGAAACCATCTGGTCACTTACATGTTTAAGGCCAACAGTCAAAGCAATGTTACCAGCAGTCAGTGAAGGGATTTCTATATGTTGGTCAGCAAATGGCAAAAGAAGACGACTTATTCTCTCCCTGTGAAAACCACAATTTGTATTAGTAAAAGAATTTCTAAAGAAATGAGTGTAGTTTTGAAAATAACCTAAGCTTCTACTTACGTGCAGTTTCCATTAATATTATAGATGGCTGACTGGGGTTTTATCATGCCTGAGTAAATGCGCATAAACACCAGTGGTCCCCGCTGCTTGTCATGAAGAACTTTAAATGCCAGGGCACATAAGTCATCCTTATACCACTGCCTAGAAAATGAGACATTCCAGAAAAGCCTTTAAGATACACTTCCCATGTATCTATGCAGATCAGATCAGTATCACTGTACAAACTTAACCTTAATGTACTCCCTCATTATCTTCTAGTTAAGCTACTCAGACTAATTAAATCATGTCAGTACTAATTACCTCCCTTCCTCCACTTGACTAAACTATTTAATGGAGATCTTATCATTAATTCTTCAAAACTAAAAATAATGGATTCTCTCCCAAATATTACCTCTACATGCAAGTAATTCTACTGCATGGAGTTCATTCCTCAGAAATACATGTAAGGACATCTTACCAGTTCTCACAAAACCCTGTACAGGGTATACATACAGGTAGATGCTTTCCAATTATTACTTTCAACTCCCTCCCACTTTCTCTCCAGTTGCATAATCATAGAAATCTACACTATAAACTTGATAACAATCTAAACTATATATCTAAACTATAAACATAGCCAACATTCTTACAGACTGATGTCCTTAGTGTGCATTGTTAAGTTTCAGAAAGCCTGAATCCCTCTGAAATTGCCAAACTTTATATGTAGGCACATATTTTTTTGAGGAAAAGCTCCATGTTCTCATTACTTTCAAAGAAGCCCATGACTCAAAGCAGGTAAGCCACTTCTATTATAGAACTTCTCCAATCTTATCCCTATTCTAACTTTTAACTTTAGTAAATACTTAGAGTCTACCATATAATAGGCACTGTTCCATATGCTTTATCAATATTAACACATTTGATTCTTGTAACAATCCAGTGAGATAGGTCCTATTTCTCTGCATTTTACAGGTGAGAGATTACTAACTTGGAAGAGCTGGGATTTAAATCCAGGCAGTACACAATCCATGTTCATAATCATTTCACCATTAATACATCTCCAATTGAGAGATACGAAAAGTGATTAATGTCCTAATTAAAGGATTAAAGTCCATTCCTGCCTCCATTTTACACAATGCTCACTGGTATTTTAGAGGATTTATTATTAAGTACAAAGTTGTTAGTGCCAAGAGAAGTAAAATGATGACCTTTCTTTACAGCCACAAAGTATTTTTGAGCTTATTAAAAATCTTAAAATCTAGGGCACCTGGGTGGTTCGGTGGGTTAAGCTGCTGCCTTTGGCTCAGGTCATGATCTCGGGGTCCTGGGATCAAGTCCTGCATTGGGCTCTCTGCTCAGCAGGGAGCCTGTTTCCCTCTCTCTCTCTCTGCCTGCCTCTCTACCTACTTGTGATCTCTGTCAAATAAATAAATAAAATCTTTAAAAAAAAAAATCTTAAAATCTAGTATAAACATATTTACAGAAAACTTATCAAACATCCCCACTATACTGCCTTTTTTTTTTTTAACTAAGACAACACGGTAAACACTTATACTTTCATACAGCAAAAAAGACACATTGTTCTACCTTCATCTGTAAATACAGCAGGTCACAAAAATAATGACAAATGTCCCTTTCAAATAAAACTCTATATTGTTTACAATTATATTCGCCAATGTTATTTTGAAAATGGTGATTTAACTACTTTTTTTTTTTTTAAAGATTTTATTTATTTATTTATTTGACAGAGAGATCACAAGCAGGCAGAGAGGCAGGCAGAGAGAGAGGAGGAAGCAGGCTCCCTGCCGAGCAGAGAGCCCGATGAGGGGCTCGATCCCAGGACCCCGAGACCACGACCCGAGCCGAAGGCAGCGGCTCAACCCACTGAGCCACCCAGGTGCCCCAACTACTTTTTTGAAACAAGAACTCTCTGCTGTTTTCTCAAGGCTGTAAGATTTTAATCTATTACTTGCATACTCACAGAAATTCATAGTTGCGCTCTTCGGGTGAAGGCAAGTACATAGTAATAGCATCTAACAAGGGCTGAACCCCTTTGTTTTTCAGGGCACTTCCACAAAGCACAGGAACTGCTGTCTGAGCCAGTGTTACTCTGTGTATTGCAGCCTGTAGCTATAAAGCGGAGATATTAAGTACTCCGTGCGCAGTATACTGGCCATCATTTTTTTTTACTTATTTTTTTATAAACACATAATGTGTTTTTATCCCCAGGGGTACATATCTGTGAATCGCCAGGTTTACACATTTCACAGCACTCACCATAGCACATACACTCCCCAATGTCCACCACCCCACCCCCCTTTCCCGACCCCCCGCCCCCCAGCAACCCTCAGTGTGTTTGGTGAGATTAAGAGTCACTTACAGTTTGTCTCCCTCCCGCTCCCATCTTGTTTCATTTATTCTTTTCCTACCCCCTAAACCCCCCATGTTCCATCTCCACTTCCTCATATCAGGGAGATCATATGATAGTTGTCCTTCTCTGATTGACTTATTTCACTAAGCATGATACCCTCTAGTTCTATCTACTTCATTGCAAATGGCAAGATTTCATTTCTTTTGATGGCTGCATAGTATTCCATTGTGTATATATACCACTTATTCTTTATCCATTCGTCTGTTGATGGACATCTAGGTTCTTTCCATAGTTTGGCTATTGTAGACATTGCTGCTATAAACATTCGGGTGCACGTACCCCTTCGGATCACTACGTTTGTATCTTTAGGGTAAATACCCAGTAGTGCAATCGCTGGGTCATAGGGTAGTTCTATTTTCAACTTTCTGAGGAACATCCATGCTGTTTTCCAGAGTGGTTGCACCAGCTTGCATTCCCACCAACAGTGTAGGAGGGTTTCCCTTTCTCCCATCCTCACCAGCATCTGTCATTTCCTGACTTGTTAATTTTAGCCATTCTGACTGGTGTGAGGTGATATCTCATTGTGGTTTTGATTTGTATTTCCCTGATGCCGAATGATATGGAGCATTTTTTCATGTGTCTGTTGGCCATCTGTATGTCTTCTTTGCAGAAACGTCTGCTCATGTCCTCTGCCCATTTCTTGATTGGATTATTTGTTCTTTGGGTGTTGAGTTTGCTAAGTTCTTTATAGATTTTGGACACTAGCCCTTTATCTGATATGTCGTTTGCAAATATCTTCTCCCATTCTGTCAGTTGTCTTTTGGTTTTGTTAACCGTTTCCTTTGCTGTGCAAAAGCTTTTGATCTTGATGAAATCCCAATAGTTCATTTTTGCCCTTGCTTCCCTTGCCTTTGGTGATGTCAAACTATCACTCTTTGCAAATGATATGATACTATATGTGGAAAACCCAAAAGACTCCACTCCATAACTGCTAGAACTTGTATAGGAATTTAGTAAAGTGTCAGGATATAAAATCAATGCACAGAAATCAGTTGCATTTCTCTACACCAACAACAAGACAGAAGAAAGAGAAATTAAGGAGTCAATCCCATTTAGAACTGCAACCAAAACTATAAGATAGCTAGCAATAAACCTAACCAAAGAGGCTAAGAATCTATACTTAGAAAACTATAAAGTACTCATGAAAGAAATTGAGGAAACACAAAGAAATGGAAAAATGTTCCATGCTCCTAGATTGGAAGAACAAATATTGTGAAAATGTCTATGCTACCTAAAGCAATCTACACTTTAATGCAATCCTTATCAAAATCCCATCCATTTTTTTCAAAGAAATGGAAGAAATAATCCTAAAATTTATATGGAACCAGAAAAGACCTCGAATAGCCAAAGGAATATTGAAAAAGAAAGCCAAAGTAGGTGGCATCACGATTTCGGAATTCAAGCTCTATTACAAAGCTGTCATCATCAAGACAGTATGGTACTGGCACAAAAACAGACACATAGATCAATGGAACAGAATAGAGAGCCCAGAAATAGACCCTCAACTCTATGGTCAACTAATCTTCGACAAAGCAGGAAAGAATGTCCAATGGAAAAAAGACAGCCTCTTCAATAAATGGTGTTGGGAAAATTGGACAGCCACATGCAGAAAAATGAAATTGGACCATTTCCTTACACCACACACGAAAATAGACTCAAAATGGATGAAGGACCTCAATGTGAGACAGGAATCCATCAAAATCCTTGAGGAGAACACAGGCAGCAACCTCTTCGACCTCAGCCGTAGCAAATTCTTCCTGGTCATCATTTTTTAAGGCCTTCTTATTCTTTTTTTTTTTTTTTAATAACATTAATCACTACTTAGTATCTTGCATATATATTTAATGGTTTATTGTCTGTCTCTCCACCCACCAGAATACAAAATCCATATAAGCATTGTAACAAATCCCATAAAAACACTGCTGAATCCCCAGAAACCTGAAATGTACTTAAAATAAGTAGGTATCTAAAAATAAGTCTTGAATAAATGAATATACTTCTAATTTACCTTAACAGAGGAACTGACCAGAAATTAAAAACATAAATATGAATTATAATTTTTCAAAGAAATTAGACCCACATCAAATCAAATCCAAAGAAAATCAGAAATCAAAGTAGAAATCAAATTTGAAAGAACTCAAAAGCCAGGAAAAGGTTGGATGTGCTTGTAAGCTACTGAAAAAGACATGATGGGTCAATTTCAACTCACATTATAAGCTCTTTGAAAACAGAAATCATGTGACTATAGGGCACAATAAACATCACATCTAACTTTCAAATATTAAACAAAAATTTTCAGTAATTAGGACATTTCATTCAAAATAAAAATACTTTTTTCCATTTCTAACCCCAAAGGTCTCAAAATTAATCTAGAGACTCGTGTTTTTCCTTCTTCTTTTGTGAAAAATAACTAGGTAAATTTGCTGGGCTCATTCTGGATCCCATTACACATACTCCCATCTAAAAACACTTTACTTGGTGTGGCAGGGGCTAGCTCCTGGCTGGCTCAGTTGGTGGAGCATTCAACCCCTGACCTCAGGTTCCTAAATTCAAGCCTTATGTTGGGCATAGAGCTTACTTAAAAACAAATAAACAGGGCGCCTGGGTGGCTCAGTGGGTTAAAGCCTCTGCCTTCGGCTCAGGTCATGATCCCAGGGTCCTGGGATCGAGCCCCACATCAGGCTCTCTGCTCAGTGGGGAGCCTGCTTCCTCCTCTCTCTCTGCCTGCCTCTCTGCCTACTTGTGATCTCTGTCTGTCAAATAAATAAATAAAATCTTTAAAAAACAAAACAAAACAAAAAAAAACAAATAAACAAAAAACCAGCTTTACTTGATAACTCTTGTTTCATAAAGAAAACTAAAGATGGGGGAAGGTGTCTGGTAGAAAATAACGGAAATGCTTTGAAGAAATCTGTCCTAATTCAATTACTATCACTATTTAAAACATGCCTATTCTCTGGCTTAATGTATTTGAAAAGAAAACAAAAAAATAAACACCTACAATGAGCTTCCAAAAAAAATTAAATCATATTCAGAAAAAATGTAAGAAAAATAATCATTGCAGCAGTCTACAAAACCAATAAATTTTCAATACAAAATTTCTACATATAATTTCCCTAAACTGCTGAGAAAAATGATCACAATGAAAATGCTGCAAAGAAGGAATAATTAACTTATGCTGATTCAAAGCAGTAAAAAGGATACAAGCTCTGATTTTACAAAGCCCATTATGACAACAGTAAATCACTACTATTATTTAAGTACTTGTATTAATAGTGACTTTACCCTACTGTTCTCCCAATTAAGTCAGCCTTTTCTAATGCTATGCAAAGTCGAAAAAAATAAAACACCTGAGACAGAAAAATCAAACCACATCCAATTAATAAAACTTTATCAAAGTAAATGAATAATAAAATTTACCTTTTCAGTTGGTAGCAAATCAAAATTTTCACTGAATTCTCCTAAAACCAAGTCAGCAAATTCATCATCCAAATCCGCAACCTATAAAGAAAGATTTTAGTTCTATAACTTGCTTTTATTATCACAGCTGTTAAGTCCAAATACCATAAATGTACATTATTCAGATGTTTCAAGACAGCTACATGATCTATCTTATTCAGGCCAAGGAACTCTCCACATCTTCTCAAGAAATAAATAGTGTTTCTTTCAAAGGAAAGGAGAAGGGATTGAAAACTGAAGATAGGCAATTATGAGTTCTTTATAGTCATGGGAAGCAATAGCCAGATAAAGTATCTCAATAAAGTGCTATTTACTCAGATGTTCAAAAGAAGTAAGATACACAATTTACACCACTGATAATATATGTGAGGGGTTACTATTTTCAGATAAATTTGTAAGTCTTAGTTCATAAAAAAAAGCTTCCCTTGGTATTCCTTTAACATTATGAATGTTTACCAGATCTCCTAAGACACTCCAACTAAAGTAACTCATCTTACTGTAATCCTGCACTGAGGTAACAGATTTAAGTTGGGGGTCAAAGGTATCAACTCAGCAATAAAAATGCTATTATCTAATTCACCTTCTTTTCTTAATCATCTGCCTGTATGAAACAATTCAGCTGACAATAAATTTAACAAATATTTCAAAAGCGGGCACCTGGGTGGCTCAGTTGGTTAAGCTCTCCTTCGGCTCAGGTCATGATCCCACAGTCCTGGGATCGAGTCCCAAGTCAGGCTCCCTGCTGAACGGGGAGTCTGCTTCTCCCTCTTTCCCCTACCCCCACTCATGATCTCTCTCTAATACATAAATAAATAAATATCTAAAAAAAAAAAGTTTCAAAAGTTTATATTAGTACAAGGGAGCAAAACATTCCAACCTGGGAAGAAAAATACACTCCTACCCGCTAACTATTATAGAAACATACCTAACCATTCCTCTGAAAAGAAGTATATATGACTCCATCTTCTGGAGCCAAACTGCCTGGAAATTGCTCCACTACTAACTAACTTGTTCAAAAATTTAGGTCAAGTTACATCACCTCTTTTTACCTTAGTTACTCATGGAGATAATATTACCTACTTCACAGGGGTAGGATTAAATAACCAATTCAGAGCATGCTTCTAGGACATACAGTAAGTATACAGTAAGTGTAATGATCACTATTCACCTTCAGAACACAGGAAGTTGATTCTAGTCCACACTAATCTTATTCTCTTAAAAAAGTTTAATTGTGATAAAATAGAACATAAACATAAAATTTACCATCTTTACCATTTCTAACTGAACAACTGGGTAGTGTTAAGTATTTTCATACTGTTGTAAAACTAATCTCCAGAACTTTCCCAATCTCACAAAACCAAAAATCTCTACCATGGAACAAAACTCCTCACTCTCCACTCTCTTAGCTTTTGGCAACTATGATTCTACTTTCTATCCCTACAAACATGACTACTCTAAATACCTCATGTAAGTGGAATCAGTAAAGTATTTGTTTTTGTGTCTGGCTTATTTCAATTAGCATGTCCTCAAGTTTCATCCACATTGTAGCATGTGTCAGAACGTCCTTCCTTTGTAAGGCTCAATTGTATGTATACACCATATTTTATTTATTTATCTTATAGATGAACACTTGGGTAGCTCCCACCTTTCGGCCACTATGGATAATGCTGCTAGAACAAGGATATGCAATTATCTCTCAATACCCTGCTTTCGGTTCTTTTGGATATACATCCAGAAGCAGAATTGCTAGATAATATGGTAATTCTATTTTCAGTTTTCTGAGGAACCACCACACTGTTTCCCATAGTGGCTGCATCATTTTCATTCCTACCGATAGTATACAATGCTTGCAGTTTTTCCACATCTCTGTCAATACTTGTTTTTTGGTTGGTGGTGGTGGGGGGGGGTGTTGTGGGGTTTTGTTTGACAGTAGTTATCCTAACGGGTATGATGTGATCTTCTTCTCTAATGAAAATAAAGAAATGTGAGACTATCTGGACAAAATAATAAACTGTTAATTACAAGGAATATATATTCCCTGAGGAATATTCTTTATAATTATATATATTCCTTATAAATATATATTCTTTGTAATTAGCACTTATTTTATTTTATACATATAGTCTCAAATTTTCTTTATTTTCATTATATACCATTATGTCCTAAGACATGCATAAGACAACCAAAAAACCTCAAAGGGGAACCAATTATTTACCCAATTACTGATTAATGAATGTAAATTCCACTTATATTCTGTTTAGGGCCTCCCAAATTAAAGAAGTGGTATAGTGAAGTGGTTAAGAGCTCTACCTCCAGATGAAGACAGACCTGGGTTCGGATTCTAGCTCTGCTACTTATTAGCTGTGTAACAACTTATTTAAGAATTCTAAGCTTCAGGGCGACTGGGTGGCTCAGTGGGTTAAAGCCTCTGCCTTCAGCTCAGGTCATGATCCCAGGGTTCTGGGATGGAGCCCGGAGTCAGGTTCTCTGCTCAGCGGGGAGCCTGCTTCCCCCACCCTCTCTCTCTCTGCTTCCTTCTCTGCCTGCTTGTGATCTCTGTCAAATAAATAAATAAAATCTTAAAAAAAAAAAAAAAGAATTCTAAGCTGTTGTTTCCCCACTAGTGAAACAAGGATAATACAAGTTGTGATGATCAAATAATATACATAAAGCACTTAAACCAGATCATCATAGGTCCTCAGTAACTGTTACCCGATAATAAAAATAATAATCAACATTCTGGTAATGATAAAGATGATTAGTATGGGGGCGCCTGGGTGGCTCAGTGGGTTAAGCCTCTGCCTTCAGCTCAGGTCATGATCCCAGCATCCTGGGATCAAGCCCCATATCAGGCTCCCTGCTCGGCCGGAAGCCTGCTTCTCCCTCTCCCATTCCCCCTGCTTATATTCCCTCTCTCGCTGTGTCTCTCTCTGTCAAATTAAAAAAAAAAAAAAAAAAAAAAAAAGATCAGTATGTAATATAATGGGAAATAATTACTTCAAAAATAAATTCAAAGATGAATGAAAAAAATTAATGATGAGAGGATCTATTTTGAATAGTTTAATTTAGAAGAAAAAAAGTCAAAGGGTTTGGATGCAAATGTTTTTCTCTACCATAAGATTCAGAGGTTATTTAAGGTATGTTTTACTTATTAGTCTATATATGAACAGTACTATGTAAGTATTATAAATATTAACGATCTTACTATTTTCCATTAAAAGTTTGGGGGTGGGGGTGCCTGGGTGGCTCAGTTCGTTAAGCATTTGCCTTTGGCTCAGGTCATGATCCCAGGGTCTTGGGATCAAGCCCCAAGACAGATTACCTGCTTAGCAGGAAGTCTGCTTCTCCCTCTCCCTTCTGCCCCCTCCCCCTGCTCAGACTCACTCTCTCTGTTTCTCTCTCTCTCTCTCATAAATAAAATCTTTAAAAAAAAAAAAAAAAACACCAACTTTGATGGTGGAAGAGGTCCAGAGTTCTCTTTTAACTATAAAATTAATGGTTTTAAAATTTTCTAAGTTAATGTGTCATTTGATCAGTAAAAGATGGACATACCCTTTGACCCAGCAATTTCATTTCCAAGTTTAACCCTAAACAAATTCTTACACATATACACAAGGAGATACAAACAAAGATGTTCACATCAACATTGTTCCCAACAACAAAAAAGAAGATTAAAACCTCAAAGTGCATCCACAGAAGAAGAGACAATAAATTGTGGTATAATACTGAAATACTAAAAATGAAGCATAACCACACATAACAGGATGAATCTGCAATAAAATGTTATAAAATACAAACAATTATCATTCCATTTAGGTAAAGGGCAAAAACATGGGAAATGAAGTCCTTCATGAATCCATACATTTGTAACGAACTATAAAAGCAAAGCAAATGCAAGAAAAACACTACAGTCAGGATAGTGGTGGTGGGAGGTGTAAATGATCGGTGGAAAAGAGAGATATAAACAGTAAATGGCACACAGAGATTCAAGAGATTTGCTAATATTCTATTTCTTAATGTGAGTGATGCAAACATTGGTGTTCATTCTATTATTCATTACACTTTACATATTCCATATGTAATTTTATAAAAATTTAATATATAAAATATTTTTAAAGTTTCTAAATACTTATGCAAATGTAAACTCCAAGTATTTAGTTTACCTGTTCAATTAAGTCATTCCTTGCTTCAGCTGTCTCCTTCAGCAATTCAGCATCACTCGTTTCCAAGAGGGGTTTCCTCTCAAAGTCTTTTCCATCCTCTGATGGACGATTCCAAAGAAGTTTTTCTTTACTTACAACATCCACAACTCCTTTGAAAGTTTTGCCTTCACCAAGTGGTAACTTCAAGTCAGAGTGAGATTAACTTTGTTACATGACCACTCAATTACAATCGATTTGGTGATGAAGTTTATCTTCCCCTACTTCCCCCCACATGTCTATTATCATTATTACCGCAGTCTAATATTTATATGCCAACTTTTTCAAAAAAGATTTGAGATAGTTTTAGAAAAATACAAGTCACAATAAAATAAACTGATGAGGATATCTGAAGTTGTTGCCTTTTTTTTTTTTTTTTTTTTTTTAAACAGAGATAGAAATAGAGCAAGTGAACACAGGCATATGCCAGCACAGAGCAAGGGGCAGAGGGAGAGGGAGAGAATCTTCAGCAGGGTCCCCCACGATCCCACAACCCTAAGATCATGACCCGACCCAACATCAAGAGTCGCACTGACTAAACCGCCCAGGTGCCCCTGGAGTTGTTGCTATTAATCAACCAAGTATCAACCAACCTGTAGAAGCAAAGGCTTTGCCTTCAATTTCTCTCTGATGCTTTCAACTGCATATTTAAAACTGCAGAAAGCAAAATAGCTAGAGTTAAAAATGTTAAGATTCTTAAAACAGGTTTCAGAATGTATCCTAAAATTACATCCCTTTTTACTGTCTCCAATGTTCACCATTTAACAGTTTTCCATAGGACAATATGTTGAGTAAACTTTCAATGTCAATTTCAGATAACAGTGCTGGACTATCTACCATAATCTGCTGCACAGGTATCTAGGATATTATTATAAACTTCACCTACCTACAGTTTGAAATTAAGATTAGATAAACTGATCAAGGTCACTGATAATAAATTACAGTTATGAGATTAAAATGCATGATTTGTGATTATGAGTCAAGGATTGTTTCTTCTATCAATTATATTTGCTATTACACATAATTCCCACCTTTTTCCCAAAAAGCAGCCTTAATTTTTCTGTATCTTTATCACAGGCATTCTTAGTATCCTGTTATCAGCTTTAGAATTACTGCAGAAAATTACATAAACAGAAATAATACTGTGTGGTTTTAGGAGAGGGACAGTTTAGGTTTTGTTTTTGTCATTCTCACACCACAGACCAGGATCTCTCTATCCCATTACCCCAAAATCCCTTATATTCTTGATTCTCTGAATTCTGTTCTCAGAACCATGAATCTATTTTGGATTACCATTCTGTGAGTCTTTGAGCATTACCACCACATCTTAGTATTAACTTTTTTGCCCTCTATGCAGGTCTTAAAACATCTACATTCTCTCCCAGTTCCCTTTTAGTGAGAGCATATTAGCCAGTAGCTAAAGAAAATCAGGGGACAGAAAACAATCATCTACCTTCTACCATTAGTAATGATGGGGAGCATCACAGTCTTTAGCAATACAGGGATTATTTCATACTGCTCTAGACAGAACCAGTGGAATCATTAAGACATCACTCTGTCAGGATTCTAGAAAACAGGATATAGCCTCTCTGCATTAGAATCATGATGATTCAACACCTATCACTTCTCTATTAATCCCACATTGTTATTCAACCTATGAACTACCTGCTATGAAACCTTTTAATGGGGGGAAAAAAAAGAAATTTTTTAATGGGACTGAATTGAGATTCCATAGAATATTTATACTCTATGGGGAACAGTTGTTTGTAAATTTAAGTTATAGTCCATTAAAAGCTCAAACTGTATTTCTACTTTAACATGTGGAAAAAAAAAAAAAAACACTTAAAAATACCTTGCTCCAGTTTTGTCCATTTTGTTTAAAAAGCAGATTCGAGGTATCTTGTGTTTATCAGCTTGCCTCCATACTGTGAGAGTTTGTGCCTAAGGCAAAGACAAAGGAAAAAAAAACTCATATGAAACAAAAATAACTATGTTACTACATACAGAACAAACAGATCTAAGAAGCTATTATAATGGAGTTGGGCCCTGTTCTAGCAAAGAATTAGTGCTGCTGCATTTACACTTCTGGAGTCACTTTTCTGTTAGTAGGTTAACAGAGTTAAGAACGTAATGAAGGGTGATGAACAGTGTGCTTCAAACTGAGACTACTACTTTGGGTGACTTACATTGCCACACAAAGAGAACAAACAACTGGAAGATAACTGAGAGTCATGTAAAAAAGACTTCACTGGGGCACCTGGGTGGCTTAGTTGTTTGGGCAACTGCCTTTGGTCATGATCCTGGAGTTCCGCATTGGGCTCCCTGTTCAGCAGGGAGTCTGCTTCTCCCTCTGATCCTCCCCCCTTCTCATACTCTCTCTCATTCTCTCTCTCTCACATAAATAAAATAAAATTTAAAAAAAGACTTCATCAAGAATTAGAAGACTGTGGGACACCTGAGTGGCTCAGATGGTTAAGCATCTGCCTTCGGCTCAGGTCACGATCCTAGAGTCCTGGGATCAAGCCCCACATCAGGCTCCCACCTCAGTGGGGAGCCTCCTTCTCCCTCTGCCTCTGTCCTTCACCCGGCTCATGTTCTCTCTTTTTTTTTTTTTTTTTTAAAGATTTTATTTATTTATTTGACAGAGATCACAAGTAGGCAGAGAGGCAGGCAGAGAGAGCAGGCTGAGCAGAGAGGCCGATTCGGGGCTCAATCCCAGGACCCTGGGATCATGACCTGAGCTGAAGGCAGAGGCTTAACCCAGTGCGCCACCCAGCCACCTCTCTTGCTTTCTTTCAAATAAATAAAATCTTTTTTAAAAAGTTTTAAAAAGAGAAAGAATTAGAAGATGTATCTTTTTGTCAAGTTTCACTTTACCTAATACAGTTTACACAATACTGAACTCCTAAGTTTGCTGACCTATGAAATACGGACTTTTGCCTTAGTTCATATAGTTATTGTCATGTTAAAAAACCAAATAGGACTGTACTATCGAAATGCTACTGTGATAAAAATTTTTATTATGAATATTTGGATGCTGATGTAAAATGAAAAAAAGATTAAAAGGAGAAAAAAAAGCCAGCAACTGTATTTCTAAGTAGCAATTCTCATGTGCTTTTCTATTTGATTTCTTTTAATTCTACTTTTTATACATATTTCAATACTTCCAGTCTGTTATAGTATCTGTGCCTAGTGGAGTCCCAAAGCCCTGAAGAAGAACATAAAAAGCCTAATGTAATGGCATTACCTAAAACAGAAGCCACTTTATAATTCTATTAAGTAAAATTTATATAGAATAAAAAACACTCAAGTGTACAGTGAGTCTGATAAGTATATACACTTGCATATATCCCCCATCCTCCAAAAAAACCTGTTCTCATATCTGTCACCACAGATTCATTCTGCTTATTTTTGAATCTCATATAAATAGCATGGCTTCTTTCACTCAACGTAAAGTTTCTGACATTCATTCGTGTTGTTAGGTGTACTGGTTCTTCCTCTCCTCCCTCCCTCCTTCCCTTCCTCTCTCTTTCTTTCTTTCCTTTTGCTAAACTCCTTTGTATAAATGTGACAGCTGGCTTTTCTACCCACCTGTGGATGAACACTTAGAGTATTTCTAGTTTAGGGTTATTATGAGTTTAGCTGCTATAAACAAGTCTTGTTCAAACAGTTGCTCCACATTCTCAAACAATATTTCCATCATTCTTCTAACTTTAGCCATTCTTGTGGGTAAGAAACAGTCTCTCTTTGTAATTTTAATCTGCATTTCCCTGATAACCAGTGAGACTGGCCATCTTTTCAGGTGCTCATTGGGCCATTCATATATCTTAGTGAAGTATCCACTCAAGTCCTTCGTCTACTTTTTTACTGGGTTGTTAGTTTTTATCATTGATTTGTAGTTCTTTAGATATTCTGGATATAAGCCCTTGATCATACACATGTACTGTGAAAATTTCAGCACATACTTCCTAAAACAATGATATTTTCCTGCATTATCAATAGTGTTAATGCACTCTGGAAACTTAACATTCATGTAATATCTTATCTAATATAACAAATTATATATATATGTTATCCCTCCCCAACAACTTGTCATTCAGAAAAATCTCGAATCTATTAAAAAACAAAAAAGGTTGACGAATAGTACAATGAAAATCTATGTACCCTTCACCTAGACTCACCAAATATGAACACTTTGCCACACTTGCCTTTTTTTCTTCAACATGTGCATATACACACATTATACGTGTGGTTCTGGGAACGTGCCATTGGGATCTACTATGTAGAGCATAATTAACTGCCAGCCCCAACTACTGCTCCTCTTGTCTACAGCCATAGTCTCTCAAGGCCCAGCTAATGGCTGAATACAGCAGGAATACTAATGTAGGTTATTCTCCTAAGACCTGTGGGACTTCTCCAACAGGTGACTTTGGACTCCCCCATCAACTTCGCCGAACCTCTTTCAGAACTATGCTGTAGTCTGAGACTCTTCCTACCCAATCCTCCTTCTTTTACCCTCTCCTTGATATTTAGTTATCAGACCTACCCTGTGGTTTGACTGTTCTCTCCCACTGCTCTCTTTTCTTCTCTGCTCTTCACAGGCATTTCCCCCATCTTGGCATCTACTGGTCAAAGTATGCAAACTAACAACATATGTTCATGTGTGGGTAGAAGATGAAGCACTAGAGCAAGATGTACATATCATGACACTTCAACCCTAAATACTTCAGCCTGTATTTCCTAAACATACAAACATTTTCCTACGTAACTATTTTCAATCATCATTCAGAAAAATTTAAGCTGACACATACTTTTTTCTAATAAATATAGTCTGTATTAAAAATTTTCTGTTTTTTGGGGGCACCTGGGTGGCTCAGTGGGTTAAGCCTCTGCCTTCGGCTCAGGTCATGGTCTCAGGGTCCTGGGATCGAGCCCCGCGTTGGGCTCTCTGCTCAGCAGGGAGCCTGCTTCCCTTCCTCTCTCTCTCTGCCTGCTTGTGATCTCTGTCTGTCAAATAAATAAATAAAATATTAAAAAAAAAAAAAACTATTAAAAAAAATTTTCTGTTTTTCAAAAAAATACATATATGTATTTTTTGTTTTTCCTAAAGATGTTCTTTTTAACTATTTTTAGATCCAGAACCCTGAAGATCATATTATATTTAATTTTCTTGTATCTTTGGAATTGTTTAAACTAAAATAGTACCTCAATTTTTTACTTGTAATCACTCATTTTTCCTTACACTTACATTTTTTTTTCAACTTCTGAAAGCCCCAGGCAGTTGTTTTGCAGAATGTCTTTCAATTTACATTCATCTGACTGTCTTCTCATTATTAGATTGGGGCCAAACATTCTTTCAGGAATAAAACATTGGTAATGTTGTGTCTTTTTTAGTGCATCGTATCAGGAAGCCCATGCTGTCATTTGTACCATTTGGAGCATGTTAATTTTGATCACTTAATTAAGATATCACTTTTAGTAAAATTTTAAGATTAGAAGAACTGAAGATGATTCTTTATTCAACACAGCCCATCTTGAGATTATAAGACAAATGCGGATATCAACTAAAGAGTGCATAACTGACCCCAATGTAATTTATTACAAATCCATTTTTAAAATTTATTCAAGAATTCAGGGGTGCCTGGGTGGCTCAGTGGGTTAAAGCCTCTGCCTTCAGCTCGGGTCATGATCTCAGGGTCCTGGGATCGAGCCCCGCGTCGGGCTCTCTGCTCAGCGGAGAACCTGGTTCTCCTCTCTCTCTGCCTGCCTCTCTGCCTACTTGTGATCTCTGTCTGTCAAATAAATAAATAAATCTTTAAAAAAAAAAAGATTTATTCAAGAATTCAATATATATTAGCTGTTGGAAGATAATTCTTCACGGTCTTTCACCTCTCTACATATTTTGTTAGGAGAGGCAGTGACTGCCTTTGTTCTGGACTATGTTTTCAAAGATGCTGATATAATCATCAGCTTGGGAAGACAGAGACAGTGTCTCCCTCTGGATCAAAAGGTAGGTTTGCTTATAACCCTGAAAGATAGTAACTCTCTTCAGAGCAAACAGCAAGCATGTCTACTGCCCATTATAAAACACATGCGTTTTCTAAGCAGAGGGTACCCCTGCATGGGCAGCTGTCACCTGCCTCCCCTTAGGTTGTCCTGTGAGAACTGGGTCTTGGAAACAACATAAGATAATACTAACACCCTGGCTTTTGCTGTTTCTGTGACTATAAAGTTCTTTGTCCCTGACTCAAGAGTCTTGTGTCTTCTGCCAACATGCCATAAAGCTGTGGCAGACTAACCAGTTAGCTTGAAAGTAAGGTAGAATCTCAAGTCCTTCATAGTTCTCAAACACCAACTTTCATATTTCCTACAGAAAAGCAAACTACTTTCCTTTTACTATGAAATATCTGATATCACATATAGATCACACAGCAATGTGAAATTCTAATTTCCTTTCATAATTTGACTTATATGAACTTATATATGGTTATAGGTAACTAAAGGTGATACATTCTACTTTAAAAAAAAAAATCATGCTATTGTAGCTTGTCACTGTGGCAGTATTTTTACCTCTACACCAGCAGAGGCATCAAACACAGCTACTGCACCATCCAACACTCTAAGGCAGCGCTCAACCTCCAACGTAAAGTCCACATGACCTAAGAAAAAGATGAGAAACATAACAATCTTTAAAAAAAAAAAAAAAAAGGAGCCAGCATAGCCAGCATATACCTACTTTTGGGTATATATTCACAAGAACTTAAAGAAGAGTCAAGACATATTTGCAGGCCATGTTCATAGCAACACTCTTCACAGTATCCAAGAGGTGGAAACAACTCAAATGGCCATCAATGGATGAATGGCATATAGATAAAGTTCTGCATATATACAAAATATGCCATATATGTACAATGGAATATTGTACAGCCTTAAAAATGAAGGAAATCTTGTCACATATTACAATATAGATGAAGTCTGAAGGACTTTATGCTAAGCAAAATAAGCCAGTCACAAAAGGACAAATACTTTAGGATTCTACTTATATGAAGTATCTAAAGTAGTTAATCTCCTAGATAAACAAGGTAGAATGGTATTTATTGGTGATAGGAGGAGGGCACAAGGTCAAGTAGTTGTATAATAGATACGTCGTTTCAGTTTTGAAAGATGAGGTACTTCTGGAGAATCTTACAACAATGTAAATATACTTAACTACTGGTTAGAATGGTAAATTTTATGATGCATATATATTTTTTTTTACTACAATTTAAAAGAAAACACATCCACAAACTAAAACCTCCAATGATGCAGCATCTCTGCAGTGCTAGAATAGTACCATACCTGGCGTATCAATTAGATTGACTCTATATCCCTTCCAGTCGAATGTAACAGCAGCAGACTGAATAGTAATGCCTCTTTCTCGCTCTTGAGCCATGAAATCTGTCACCGTGTCTCCATCATCAACATCTAACAAAGAAAAGGATACACAGTTAGGTTTGACACCAAGCACACTTCATTGTGATAGGGTGTTTACTTGACAGTTTATTTTTTTAGAGAAAGAGTGTGTGCACATGCAAGTGGAGGTAAGGGGAGAGGCAGAGGGAGAGAGAGAATCCCAAGCAGGCTGTGCACTGAGTGAAGCTCAATCCCAGGAGCCTGAGATCATGACCTGAGCAGAAATCAAGAGTGGGATGCTTAACCAACTGAGCCGCCCAGGCGACCCTCTACTTGACAGTTTACTTTGCTCCAACACTGTTTGTACAATATTTTAATATTCAGAGCCCTTAATCTTTCTCTAAATAAGCCCTTGTTCTAGAAAAAGCTTTTCCAGCAAAATTAGTAATTTTTCCATACAAATAATTTTTCTGTAACAACTAAGATAAAATTGGTTCAAATATTTTATTTTTATTGAACTTGATATTCCTTTCATTTTTTTTCCCCTAGTTTAACTTTCATTATCCCTTCTTTACTTATGTTCCTCACGCCTGATCCCTGGACAGGAGGCAGGGTACTGCAATGAATGAGCCCAGACATACCTAGATTTAAGTACCACCTTTACCATGACTATTCTGTTAACTTTAAGCAAGTTACTTAACCTAGTTTGTAAAATAAGGTTAATAAAGGCAATCCTATGGGGTTGTTAAAAGAATGAAATGAGACTATATAAAGTACCTAGCTCAGTAAATGTTAAGTAAATGGTAGCTACATGAAACAAGGTAGAGAAAAAATTCCTCCAAAGTTAAATTCTCCTTTCCAAACCTTTTTCATTACTAAATTTTTCCCAAAAAGGGCATTTATTTGTACTAATGAAAATGAACTCTTGGTAGAATTTCTACAGTACAAAGTCATGGATAGAGTTCATCCTGACTGCCAAGAGGTCAAATTATTCTGCATTAAAATTCTTGAATTATGCACTGTATTCTGATTAAATTTATATAGAAGTTATGAAAATGAGCTGATCTTTACTATTCAAAATTCAAAAACACAGGTTATTATAACCTTATACTACCACTACTTATGTCAGCATTGAATCTCTGAATTGCTAGCCAGGTTCCCCACTGTTTGTATATGTATATGTGTGTATATGTGGGTATATGTATATTTGTGTATATATACATATGTACCAATAGAGGGAGAAATAGCAAGAAAAATGTTTTTGTCAGGAGCTCCAAATATCTGCGTTATAGAATTAGTGTTGTTATTTGCAACATAACCAAGCAAACACCATTAATGAGACAATAACCAAATAGCTAACCAAAAGTTCCAAATGATGCCATTTGTAAAACATTTCTTAGGCGGGGGAGGGGTGCAAGACAACAGAGTAGGAAGACCCTAACCTCACTCTGTCCCACGTTTACAACTAGGTATCACTCACATCTGAGTCCATAAACTGAAGTGCATTCTGAAGACTGGCAGAACAAACTCCATAGCCAAATGCAGAGAAGCAGCCAGCACTGGAGAGGTTAGGAAAGGCAGAAAGGTGATGGAGAGTCGCCAACAGGAGGAGGGGAGCTATGGTGCAGAGGAGGGAAAACACCAAGGAGTCCACATAGGTAAAGTAAATCCCTGTAACATCTAGTCTTGAAAACCAGAAGCGTTGAGTTCCATGAGTCTGTATAACCACAGACTTGGGAGTCTGGAGCTTTGACAGTCAGCTGACTCAAGTAGAGAAGCCAGGAGGGTGTGTGATAGCCAGGTCCCCACCCTTAAAGAGTTAACAGCCTGAGTTAAGAAGCAACCTAAAAGCAACAGTTTGCACTAGGGAAAGGAGATCTGTTTATATGGATTTCAGGGCAAGCTGGGGAACTTCCCTGGGAACAGAGGAACTGGCAGGTGCCATTGTCCTCCCCTATTCCTCAGCATAAACACAGAGACACCTGCTGGATGCAGTGCTGCACGGACACTTGCTACTAACCTGCTGGCAGTGCACCAAGCCTGAGGACTCATGGACTCCAAGTCTGCTGGTGCTGAGCTCAGGGCAAATTTTGTTAACATTGTGCATATCCCACCCAGTCAATACCTCTGCCCGCTGTGCTGCTGTGGCCACTGCTCTTTGGGGGATGTGACCAAGTCTAGCTGCTCAGTGCAGATTTTGCTAAAGTCATATGTGTGCCCTACCCAGCTGCCATAGGCCCCCAGGCACTGTGTACAAAAACTTATGCACCCCTTGTTGCTACCTCAGACCACGTGCCTTGCACCAGGCTGCGAAGAGATGCTGTGTGACTGGCCACCACCTCAGTTTAGGAGATCTGACCTATTCCTAACAACCCTGCAAATTTTGCAAACACTCCTGCATCACCCCTGAGCTTTCCTATGGTCACGTCCCCTCAGGGAAAGCAGCCTGGGTCTCATTAATACCACAAAGAGCAAGCACGGCTCACAACAGGCAGAGTCTATGCATGAGATGGGACTGATAGGGAAAGCACAATAACGGGACGCAAGAAACACACATAGGAAACTCTGCTCAGGGCACTACAGAACCTCTTCATAAGGCTACTACTTTCTTTTCTTTTCTTTTCTTTTTTTTAAAGGTTTATTTTTTATTTATTTGACAGAGAGAGATCAGAAGTAGGCAGAGAGGCAGGCAGAGAGAGAGAGAGGCGGAAGCAGGCTCCCTGCTGAGCAGAAAGCCCAATGTGGGGCTCGATCCCAGGACACTGAGATCATGACCTGAGCCAAAGGCAGAGGCTTAACCCCCTGAGCCACTCAGGCGCCTCAAGGCTACTACTTTCAAGAGCAGAAGACATAGCTGACTTTCCTAAGACACAGAAACAGACAAAGAGAGGTAAACCAAAAAAACAAAAAACAAAAAAAAAGCAAAAGAAGAAGAAGAATGAGGAGACAAAGGAGGAACTTGACAAAACCACAACTGGAGAGCTATGTGAAACAGAAATTAGTATACGTGACAGAGAGTTTTAAGTAATGATAACTAAAAAAATAAATAAAAAATAAAGTAATGATCATAAAGATATTCACTGAACTGGAGAAAAGAGTGGACATTATCAGTGTGACCCTTAGCAAAGAGAGAAAAAAATAACATTACAAGACATGAAATTAATAAATGAAATTAAAAATACAACAGACGGAATATAGACAGTAGGCTACAAAAAGCAGAGAAATGTATCGGTGACCTGGAGGACAAAGTAATGGAAAGCAAACAAGCTGAAGAGATCCAAGACAAATACTCCATAATAGGAATAGACTTAGAGATCTCAGTGACTCAATCAAGTATTAACATTTGCATTATAGCGATCCAAAAAAAGGGAGAGAAAGGAGGGCAGAAAAATGTATCTGAAGGAAAAACAGCTGAAAATATCCCAAATGCAAGGGAGGAAAACAAAGATCCAGATTTAGGAGACACAGAGATCCCCAACCCAAGGAGGTTCACACCAAGACAGAGAATTAGAATGGAAAAAATAGTGATAAAGAATTTTAAAGGCTGCAAGAGAAAAGAAGACCATTACCCACAAAGAAAATCCCACGAGGCTATCAGTGGCTTTTTCAGCAGAAACTCTGCAGGCCAGCAGAAAGTGGCATATTATATTTAAAGTGCTAAAAGGAAAAAAATCCTGCACCCAAGAATACTCTACCCAGCAAGGCTATCATTTGGAAGGAGAGAGAAAGAGTTTCTCAGCCTAACAAAAATTAAAGGAGCTCAGGACCATTAAACCAGACCTAAAAGAAATATTAAAGGGGACTCTTTGAGTGAAAAGCAAAGACCATAAATAAAAGTATAAAAAAAATATATTAAAAATAAGTATTTCTGTAAAAATCAGTCAAAAGATTCATAAAATATAAGGATGTAAAGTATGATACCATACACCTAAGACATGGAGGGGAAAGGAGTAAAGAATGGGCTTACACTTATGCAATCATCGACAATATAGACTACTATATGCAGAAGATGTTATATATACATATATATATATAGTAACCAAAATTAAATATATATATATACCATATATACATATATATACCACATATATGTGTGTACCATATATATACATATATATACCACATATATACATATATATACCATATGTATACACATATATATACACCATATATATATATGGTAACCAAAATTAAAATTAAAAACCAGTAATACACATGCAAAGAATAAAGAGTAAGGAACCCAAGTAGATCACTAAAAAAAGCCAACAAAGCATGAAAAGAAGGATGAGAAAAAAGCTACAAAAACCACAAAACAAGTAACAAAATGGCAATAAACACTGATCTACCAATAATTACTCTGAACGTAAATGGACTAAGCACTCCAATAAAAAAACAGAAGACAGTGAATGAAAAACAAGACCCATCTAAATGCTACCTACAAGAAACTCATTTCAGACCCAAAGACACCTGCAGATTGAACGTGATGAGATGGAGAAGCATTTATCAAGCAAATGGATGTCAAAAGATAGCTGGAGTAGCAATACTTGTATTAGACAAAACAAACTTTTTTTTTTTAAAGATTTTATTTATTTTATTTGACAGAGATTACAAGTAGGCAGAGAGGCAGGCAGAGAGAGAGAGGAGGAAGCAGGCTCCCTGCTGAGCAGAGAGTCCGATGTGGGGCTCGATCCTAGGACCCTGGGACCATGACCCGAGCTGAAGGCAGAGGCTTTAACCCATTGAGCCACCCAGGTGCCCCGACAAAACAAACTTTAAAACAAAATCTTTAACAAGAAACAAAGAACAACACTATATAATAATAAGAAGTTCATTCCAGCAAGAGAACATAACAACTATTAAGTATTTATGCACCCAATATAGGAGCACCCAAAATACATAAAACCCTTAACAACAAAATTAAAGGAACTAACTGATAATAACACAGTAATAACAGAGGTTTGTAATACCCCATTTGCATCAACAGATCATCCAAACAGAAAATAAAGAAACAATGGCTTTGAATGACACACTGGACCAGATGGATTTAACAAATACGTTCAGAACATTCCATC